GAGGTCGTCATGATTGCCGACTTGATGGCTGCCGGGGTCCATCCTGGGTGGATGGAACGGATCAGAGCGGCAATCCCGCCGACGTGAGGGCAGGCCATGGAAGTCCCTGACATGACTGTGAAGTTCACTCTCCTGGAATCTTCAGGAAGCGCACTTGGACCTAAGTTTTGAGGCCAAGCAGCAATAATGTTGACTCCTGGAGCAATCACATCAGGCTTCAGGATTGTAGGATTAGTCAGGCTCGGTCCTCGGGCCGAGAATTGAGCCACTGCGGGCGCTCGGCTTTTCCCAATGACGGTCCCGCCGAACTCGATCCTGGCCCTCGGCCTTGCGGTGGAGTTTATGTAGGCCCTCAAGAGGATCGACTCTGAATATCCGATTGTCGTCGCTGGCAACACGTGGACATCCACCGAGTCCTCTTCAAGGTTTATCTCGGTATTCGCTAGGATCATCGCGGCCCCACCCGCTTCCTTCACGATTTGGCCCTTCTCCGACCTCCCATTGACTCCGCGGTCGCAGACAACCATCTTGCCTTGAACCTTTTCTCTAGGGAGTGACCCTCGCAAGCAAAATTCGCCCCCCATGTTGCCGTCAGTGACGTAAATCAACTCGAGTTCTTCACGAGACATTGCCAAACGGTCCCTCGCGGGGTACAAGGATTCTCCATATAGGAACTTCCCGTTGCCCAACCGAACAATAGCAGGGAATCTCCTGTCAAGCGTGCTTGCGCCTACAGTTAGAATCCACGGAGCTTCGTTAGCGACTGAGTTCAGGATTGGCCCGTTGTTTCCGGCAGAGCATACAACTGATACGCCCTGCTCGACTGCACGAAAGCTCCCGATAGCAATGCTATCCGCGTAAAGGGGGATCGGGAAGCCGCCAAGTGAGAGGGAGAGGACATCGACTCCATCCCTGATTGCCACATCCATCGCAGCTAATATATCAGAGCTGTAACAGCCACTGAACCAGCAGACTTTGTACACTGCAATGTGGGCGCCCGGGGCCATCCCGCGGGCCACGCCGGCACCATTACCAAGCACGCTCGCCAATGCCACAGAGGCTCCCCCAGCCGTTGATGAGGTGTGCGTCCCGTGGCCATGGGAGTCTCTTGGCGAGACATACTCGACCACGTCGTCCGCCGAAGGTGACGGAGAAGCCACGCGGTGCCCCTTGGTGAAGAACCGGGCGCCGATTAGTTTCCGGTTGCAATTCGAAAAGTTGAAGCCCTGCCCCTCTTGGCACGTCCCCTTCCATTTCTTGGGGACAGGCGGCATGCCCCGGTCATCAAAGCTCGGGCTCTCGGGCCAAACTCCGGTATCTAGGACACCGATGATCGTCCCGCGCCCGAACCTCGACTCACTCCAAGCCCCTCCCGAGGGATTCAATCCTAGGAACTCGTAGGAATAAGTAGTTTGCACTTGGAGGACCCTGTCAGGCCGAATGGCAATGACATCGCTCATTCGCTCCAAGCTCTCGCGCTCCAAGTTGGACAGGCGAGCGGCGAAACCGTCCATCGCGGAACGGTAGGAATAGAGCAGGCGAGAAGAAGGGTCTTCCACGTGAGAGGGAGGGACGGTGCGGTGGATGAAGGAGAGGTGCCATTGGAGCTCAGAAGCGAACGCGAACCGGGTCGGCCCGTTAGGATGGAGCTGAACTATGTAAGTGTGGAGAGGGTCAGTGTTGGCATGGAGCGCGGCCAAGCAGAGCGAAAGCGAGAAGGTGACGATGAGCGAGTTGATAGTGGCTTCCATGGGTATTGTGTCGAGACACTTTGCTGCATGATTCGGGGACACATTTGCGGGTGACTTATATGAAGAACTCGCACAGAGAGAGAGGGAGTGAGAATTCAAAACTGAGCTCTGAGCGTAGAGAAGAGGAAACTCGTGAAATTCAAGGGCTCTTCATCACGAGGATCATTTGGCTGAGAGAGAGACAGAGAGCTCTTGAGGAGCTTCGGTGTTCGTGTGCGCTCTGAGCTCTTCGGCTTCACGAGAAGTAGTGGTCGGTTTTAATACATGAAGAGCCGTTGGATTCGAATGAAATGTCGGGCGAATGTTTGATGCTCGGTACTTGGGTTAAAGAGACGGACGGAAGACATGGTAAGTAGAGCGGAGAGTTCGAAGCTGTACTGAGATGAAAGGTGAAAATGGCCATCGCCAATTCAATGCTTGAGCTTCTGTCTCTGCGCGCGCGCGCGCAGTGCATTAATGATAAGGTCTTGGACTTAGCCATCCATGGCTCCCATTCCACGCATTTGCCCACCGCGCAAGTAGCCAATCAAATTAGCTAAGGAGAGAGAGAGAGAGAGAGAACCACACTGTTCTACGAATTACAACATTACTGGGTATATCTCAATCCCTAAAAAATGTGCTAGAATCTCACTCTCAGTAGTTATAAAGACCCGACATGCGTTGAAGACAGCGATGATTTTGGAACGGCGACGCGGTTCTCAACCAAACGAGCATTCTCGTGGATACAACCCGGCGACTTCGGGGGCTATGGAATGATCCGTCGGTGTGAGACCGTCGTTCACGGCCATCCTCCAATCCTAATGCTAAATGGAGGTTGCAAAGGGTTCGTGTATTAAAGTGTGAGTACATGAATCAAAGGATTTAGATCATGATCGTGTATGCAACGAAGTCGATGCAAATCACAATTCGTTTTCACGGAATAACAACATCAAAATGACCAACATCGATTGGGAACAGATTTACTTCTTTTTTTTTCATCACCTTTGATAATATTACGGCGTTTGGTACGGTTTTCCGAGTAGTGGCTACGTATGTATAGATGATGCCGGACTATCTTGGGCCTGGTTCTTTTATCGCTCCAACCCGTAGTTTTCGGACGAGACAAGAAATCCAGATCTGGCCCAATTCATCGAGTTTAGCATTTTCATGTAGAGAGCTATGTGCAGCAGTGCAGACCTTCCCCTACCAAAAAATCTTGGTGGGTACAAGAAAGTTAGGGCTAGAGGGCCATTGACTAAGCCACAGGAGGTTTAGTCACACGTATGGCTTCCTTGTAGACGTGATGGTGCATCAGATTCGGCTCTCTGCTCCTTTGCCCAAGCCCATATGTAATTGGGAACAAGTTTGCTTAAAATACACTATTGGAGAATTATCCTGATAGATACCTCATGCACATAAGTATATCTTTGCTGCCTTCGCGAACGCCAAAATCGCATACACCTGTTCACATCGTGACCTAAAAATTACGCTTCTTTAAGCGGAACACGTCGGTCAATGAAATATTTATCGAATCCCATTATTTTATCGCTCTTTATACCGCGATCTTTTGACAAGTGGGCGTAGCACGCAATGGACAGATTCCAACTCCCTGCTAGGTTCAGTGTACTCCGCACCATATGGCCATGATTTCAAGAAGTACTATGATGGGCACCGTTATTCTATTCTACTGCAGGAGAACGTGATCTTAAGGTCGAGTTAGGAAACTAGATCTGGACCGACTAAGCTCGGATTATCATATTAAGACTTGCAATTTCTTTAACTTAAGAAGGTCTAGAAGACGTGTTTAGGGGAATCGTGTTGACTTCTTGTCTTGGGAGGAAATGTGTCTCCTAGGGTTTTACCAAGAAACGTGCTGGGAACTCCTAGATTCCAGCTCGTGTCAGTGGGAAACAGCAAAAGTCAAAAAGAATTTTCTAGCAATCGCGTTTAACTTCAGCTGAGATCCGGCTTTGACGGCAATTAAGAGAGTCAATTGGGGTTCCCTGTTGGGACAGAATGAGTCAGGCCTTCCATCAATCAAATTATGCAAATTCTCCAACATGAGCCGCGGTCAAAACTCAACTCGAGCTCGAACGAGTATTAACAGTTCTGCATCGAACCGAACCCGAACTACTCGTAAGTAACTTGTCTTAGTTTCAACTCTACCTATACACATTAGCCCCTACTCGCGTCTCTGCAATTTGAAATGTCAAACCAATTCCACCATAATTTGGACATTCGAGTTGCGAAGAAGACTCCTCCAATCCTTACAATGACGTTTCATGGATAAGTGTCTACGGATTCTTGTTAAGCAATCGATGAAGGGAAATTTGCACTCAAGGCGGCGATATTGAGAGCAAACATGCCAAGAACAAGATGGAGATGGAGACAAGAAATAGCCCGAAAAGAGCTCCACCAGTTCATTCCCTATGGACATTAGGTCATCACCACTATAGCCAGGAAAACGCCACAATGAATGGGCCACCATACATATTCTTGCCAACAAAGAAGAAAGTGAAAAGGGTAGTAATGACAGGGACTCCCTTTGTTGCACGTCTAGTATATAAAATTCCTGACCATGTGAAGCCGATCCGGCAATCGTATTTTAAATCCTGACGATGAATGGCTTAGTGACATATATGGTGGAAGATCCTAATGTCATGGCCAGGAAAAGATACCATTTTCCAGGTAAAAGAGACGAATCCATGAATCCAGGATAATCCTCCAGAATCTCTGGGTATTTTAGACGCCAGAAGAAGCTGCTTCTTCAAGCTACGGAGTACTAACTCAGCACACAAAACACAAATAGGTATCACAGAGAGATTAAATCACTGAACTTTCTGAACAAGATGAAACAAGTTTGCATTTCCATGTTCGAAGAGTCTTTAGAACCACAGGTTAGCAGGTCCTATCAGTCTTGAAAGCAAACATGTAGGGGCAAGAAGTTCATGCAACGAAAACTTTCCCTAGAGCTGGGATAGGGCACAAAGCGGATTTCGCAAGCCTGACCGAAAACACCCTTGAACGTTGGACGACAAAAACAGGTAGAGAACCCTACCAAACAACAAGACCCAATTTCGCAAGCCCCCTCAATTTAGGAAAACTTGATGAGATATAAACATGCAACCAACTACAGGCACTTGAAAACATGCCAGAATCTGCGAAACATCAACCTTACAGAAAAGAACAGTACATTGGCTTATATAGCTGCTTCTATTGAGAACTTGCAAAGATGGAGCAACTTGGGTCCACTATGCTGAGATCGAAAGCTTGACCAGAAACAGAAAAATTATATTTCTCATGAAAAGTTCCAGTATCTTTGCGAACATGGACATTAAACAGATCCATCCATGGAATATGTGCTATGTAATACCCTATTAAACGCAATTAAAGAATCGCTAGGCACGATACAGGCAGAATGTAGAAGGAAGCGGGACACTCAACTATGTTTCTGTCTTTGATTGCCTAGCACGGCAGTGGACCTAAAAGGCTGAACTGAACGGTATATTAGCTTCAAAAATATGTCATCGGAGAGCCATTGTGCTCTTGCCTTCGGTCGGAATCTCTCTTGACATGAACTCCATCTAGAGGCATCACCATGCATCAGCACTTGGTAAAGCTTCTTCAGGAAAACTGAAGCCTCCAGATCATGACTGGTCTCTCTGCTCGTTCTTCCAAGACTTCTTCGCAGCTTCTGCAGAGGAACCTCCAGAATCTCCCTCGCCCTTTGGCTTCGAGAAGAAAGGATCCCATTCGTGGCCTCCCACTTCACGCTGTCCCTCCTCCAACAAGTCATATTTCCAGCTATTCTCTTCAATAAAGTTATCATATTCAGTACGGCCCTCAATAATGTTCCTTCTCAGCCTCGTAACCTTGTCAATGACGGCCTGCACAGCTACATCGAAAGCGTCCTTCAGAGTCTCTAGTTTCGAGCGCGGATCAGCATATATAAGCCTCGGGATGAGATTTATGACTTCCTCCCTCATTATCTTCACCTGCTCGGGAGATATTTCCCGGAGCCTCTCCTCTATGCTAACATTGCGCTTTCTTAGATCATCTTCAGGAATAAAGACGGAGTACTTTGTGTAATCTTTCGGAAGATGCCAGGTGTATTGAGTGTAGGCTGATCCCGGATGGAAGAAGACTGGTATACAACCTGCCAGCATCGAGTCAAAAGCAGATCTCCTCGTATATGAATCACCCTGTGGCTGCAAGCAGAAAAGGGAGCTTTGGAACATCTGCATAATACTGCTTGGAGAATGACACTTGCTCTCCCCAAAATCACACTCTAGCAGCTTGCCGACCTTAGAGTTCCTGCACTGATCAATGATTTGTCCTCGAATTGATTTTGGGTTGTCCGGACGAGGAGCGCCGGCAAACGAGAACAGCCATTTGCGCTCCAATTTCCTCATCCTGTCCTGCCAATTGAATACGTCAGCATCTTTTGCTGGGTGAAAATAAGTCGGATAAGGAATGCCGAAATCATTCGCATTCCATGGACTTGACTCCACAACAAGCATAGACATGTTTCTTGCAGCAGGGAGAAAGAGAAGCTTATTGCCCCAGTCCGTTTCTTCGTCACTTAACCGCCTGAAATCCCATGTGATCCTCCCAGCAACAAGGAAGTGATCCTTCCCTCCCATGATGTTCCACTCCGGCCTCTTCATCAGCCATTTAACTAAATCAAGAGATGCGGCATCCCTCACAGATGTGTTGTAACCCCAGAGATACCTTGCGATGTCAAATCCAGCATAGAAGGGTACGAAAACAGCCGCGGCAATGGAAGAATCACGCGTTAAGCAATCGTACTGCTTCATCCTATTGTTGAAAATGACATCAACAGCAAACTGATTTGTCGCGTACCATCCCGTATTCGAGAACACACCTTCGACATTCTCGAGCGGTGGACCGAGCCCGGCATTACTGGTGAACTTACACATATTGGTCCAGAGGCTTAACTTCCTACACTCCTTGAGCATGTCCTCGTTAAACCTAGGTGGCAAATCATGGACATATATGTACCTCCCACCGCACGGATCACTCTTGTTCTCTGTAGTTCTCAATGGTCTCATAAAGGGGAAACTCTCTCTTTTCCTTTTAGTTTCCCGTTTCGGGGACTCCACCACTTTAGGAATTTTCTTTTTCGGGGGATCGACCACTCGGGGAGTTTCCCTTTTCGGGGGATCGACCACTTGGGGAGTTTCCAAATGGCTCTCCCTCAGCGGCGTAGCGCTCATGCGGGGTTCCGACGAAGGGTCATCATCGATCCTATGAGAAGGCGTGGATTCGGTTCTAACCGGTATGGGCTGCAATTTGGCGGATTCATCAAAGGGATTACCCCCTAGAACTACGAAATGGAAGTAAAACAGCAGAACCCAGAAAAACAAGGACAATGTAGCCAAGAAACAGAGGCGGGAGTGCTGGTTCTTAGCCGTTCCCTTCTCCATTTGCTCCGATGCGACACTCGCCGGCGAACGGCGTCTCATCAATGACACGAGCACAACGATTTAACCCACCACCCAGACCACCATCATATCCACATCCAAGCGCCGCCCAGAAACCAGATCCCCGACAAATACAAACGCCGACCCAGTTCGACCGATCAAACACGCAACCAGAAAACCCTTTACTCCCAATCGCGCAGGCGCAGCCTAAATTCGGGCCCCCGCCAATCTCCGGAGACGGGTAAAACGAGCTGCCCAGAATCCCGAACGGCGATGTCAAATCAAATGGGGAAAGAATGAAAGAGAGCAACAGACCCACCGAATTCGAGCAGCCAGGAGCTGCGACGGAACGATCTTCGGAGGATGACGACGACGACGACGACGACAATCAAGAATCGGCAAGAACCTCGACAACTTACTGAGCCTTGCCTCGCCCGCCCGCCCGCCGACCTCGATTCAGACAAACGGATTCAGAGCCTCGTTACCGCAAAGACGAGGAAGCAACTGACGATAGATGATAGAGAGAGAGAGAGAGAGAAGGGGTTGATCTATGTGATTTGGAGGAGCGAAAGGAGAAGGAAAGCGAAGCGCATTTATGAGACGGAGGGAGGGAGGGATTCAGGGGAGGCGCATGTTAGCGACGAGCGCTCGTCCCGGGAGCTTTCCATTTGCCTGTCGGTAGCCCGTAGATTGGCGCCACGTAGGCGGGTGTCGGGTCAAAAGAGGGAGCCCCTACCTAGCGGTTCCGCTCCTGGAATTACGTCGCCCTGATTTTTTGAGAGAAACAAAACACAATTAAGACGATGATTGACGACAATATGGCCCGGGCCTAGGTTCGCCGGGGTACGCCCAAGATCGCTCGACAGCGAAACGAAGACGCGATTTGACATTTAAATTATAAATACATTGAAAGTATTAAAATTTATCACAAAAATAAAATTAAGTCTTAAAATTTACAAAAAAGTACAATCAAGTTCTAAAACTTGTCGAATTGATGCAATTGAGTCATTTCATAAACTTTGTCCAATTTGGCAAACGACAAATACTGATGTGACTTTTTTTCTTTCATACGTGGCGATGACATGACTAAATCATAAGACATAAGGCCAAAACGATATCGTTTTAAACTAAATATGATATTTTTAATATAAATTTTATTTAAATAAATAAGCTAATTAATGAAAAAAGACACACAGGGGAGAAACCTTGTGGCTAGGCACCTGCCTTTTTTATTTTTAACTAGCTTATTTTGTATATAATTTAAATAAAATCTATATTAAAAATCGTGAATTGACTAAAACAACGTCGTTTTAGCCACGCCATCGCCACGTAAAAGAGATAAAATATAAAGAAAATCACATCAGCATTTTCCGTCAGCCAAATTGGACAGGGTTAACGGAATTATTTGATTGCACCAATTTAATAAGTTTTAGAAATTGATTACACATTTTGCAAGTTTTATGACTAAATTGCACTTTTGCGATAAGTTTTAGGACTTCCAGTAAACTTATCATAATATTTAAATATTCTAACACTTTTTTTTTTACAAGTGATATGGATATTGTAAGGAGATATGTCCATCCTCTGCATAGAGTCCCGTTGTGTATGCTAGAGGACCGCTCATGTCTAACAAATCATATACCAATTTGGTAAATCGATCTTAGTAAGTCCTAGCATCACTCTTTATTATTAATGCTCTTCATCCCTAATTGGGAATAAAATGAGGGAAATAAAGAAAATATCATCGTTTGTTACGAAACTACCAATGAAATCATCGGCCTTTATGAAACTCATAACGTGTCACGCTTTGCCGTAATGATAGCATCTTTTATCATGGAAACTCTATAAAATATAGGAAAATTGCCCAAAATGTCATCAATATATTATATGTATTCAATTTTATCCTAAACTTTTCAATTTGGTTAATGTAGTCAAAATCTTTTGACGATTTTTAATTGTAGTACATCCAGCCAATTAAGGCTGGAGATCACTGGTGTAGCAATCCAATTAGCACCGATCATCATACGTGGTATGACTAGCATATGAGATGAACAATCTTAAATGAAACAACATGGTTTTGAGTTTATTATTTTCAATCTTCTTTCTTTCCATTTTCTTTCATTTCTTTTCTTTATTTTTTCTTTCTTTCTCTATTGTTCATCTTCTTCCCTCGGCATTGGTTGGCGATGGTCACTAGGGCCTTGGCAATGGCCGGCGACAGTCGCGACTCTCACTCAAATCTAGGCAAGGGCCTACATGCACTCTCCGACCACAAGAGAAGCTAAAACCCATGCCCTTGTTGCTGCAGATAGCGGAAGAGAGGAGGAGTTGAAACCCAGATTTGGGTTTCAAATTGAAGATGAACGGTAAAATAAAATATAGAGGAAAACAAGTTAAAAAAGAAATTCAAAATTAAAAAAGAACTACTCAAAACGATGTGATCCACACCAGTTCACCGCCCACGGCATGTGAGACAGCCGACGTTGACTAAACTGTCTCATTAGTAATTTCGGCTAATTTTAATTGGATAGATTACATTGGAAAATCACAAAAAAATTTAGAATTATGTTAACTGAATTTAAAATGTTAATATCAAATTGGCATCCACGTACGTACAAAATAGATTTCAATCATGAGACGAGATCTATTATTACGTGATTTCAGTCACTATCGATCTCGAGAAATCTTAGAAGCGCCCGGTGACCTATATGCATTAGTTGCAGACTATTTTACATATAACAGCAAAGAAAGGCAGAGGTTAAAGACAGGAGCAACAGCCGAGGCACGTGGCGGAGAACTGATTGATTGAGGCTGTCGTCGGGCGGCGCGCGCGTCTACGGAAAGAGGCGACAACACCGACACGAGCGTGGCCGTCGCCGTCGCCGTCTCGAGGCTCGGGCCACTCTCGGTCCGAGGGGCAAGATCCTTACCACATGGGAGATCTCTACATCTCGGGCCACCCCACCCAAAAACAAAAAAGAAAAAATCACCAAAATCCCAAACTTTCGCATTCGCACACATTTACTTCTTGGCTGCGACACAAAAATCTCGATCCTTTATGACACATTTACTCCCAATATATTTAGTCCATGGGCATTTTCGTCTTTTTGCTTTTTCTTTTTTTTTCCTTTCCGGAGAGGGGGGCCTCGCCGGATCCGGCAAGGGGGGCCCTCGCCGGCGTCGAGCGAGGGCGGCCCTCGCCGGCGTCGAGCGAGGTTCGCCCTCGCCTGGGCGAGCGAGGGCGGCCCTCGCCCGACTCAGGCGAGGTCGACCCTCGCCGGCTGTCGGCGAGGGCCATCCTCGCCGCCCAGCGCGAGGCGACCCGCCGGCGTCGCGAGGTCGACCCGCCGGCCGAGCGAGGGCCGCCCGGCGAGGGCCATCCTCGCTCGCCCGGCGAGGGCGACCCTCGCCGGCGTCGAGCGAGGTCGACCTCGCCGGCGTCGAGCGAGGGCCGCCCGGCGAGGTCGACCTCGCCCGAGCCTCGGCGAGGGCCGCCCTTGCTCGCCCGTGCGAGGGCGACCTCGCCGGCGGCCGGGCAAGGGTCGCCCTCGCCTGGGCGAGCGAGGGCGGCCCTCTCCCCGATCCGGCGAGGTCGACCTCGCCGGCGTCGGGCGAGGGTCGCCTCGCCTGGGCGAGCGAGGCGGCCCTCGCCCAACGCCGGCGAGGTCGACCCTCGCCGGCGTCAGCGAGGGTCGCCTCGCCTCGGGCGAGCGAGGGCGGCCCTCGCCCAACGCCGGCGAGGGTCGACCTCGCCAGACGGCGAGGGCCGCCCTCGCTCGGCGCCGGGCGAGGCCCCTCGCGGATCCGGCGATGGGCATCCTCGCTGACGCCGGCGAGGCCCCTCACGGAAGGAAAAAAAAAAAAAAGCAAAAAGACAAAAATGCCCATGTACTAAATATATTGGGGTAAATGTGTCACAAAAAGAAAGTTCGGGTTTTTGGTGTCACAAAAAAAAGTTTGGGGTAAATGTGTCACAAATGACAAAGTTTGGGGTTTTTGGTGGTTTTTTCCCAAAAAAAAAACAAGGAAAAGAAAAAGAAAAAGAAAAAGGACCCTTTGTTTTTCTTTGAATCATGTTCACGAATAAGCAAAATTAATAAAAGAAAAATGTGACGGTGTATGTATAATAGGCCTAATTCCCTAAAAAACCCCAAACTTTACTCTTTGTCCCAATTATATCCCAAACTTTTTTTTGTCTTATAAAAAACCTCAAACTTTGCTTTTGTCCCAAATCTACAATTACTTTTTCAATTTTTTAATATTATTTTTTATTTTTTCGAATTTTTTATTTTTTATTTTTTTTTCTTCTTCCTTTCCTTTTCTTTTTTTTTTTGTTTCACCTTTGGGCCGGTCGTCGGATCGGCGACCGGCCAGAGGCGGGGGCCGGCGGGGGCGAGGCTCGGCCTCGCCGGCGTTAGGCGAGCCGAGCCTCGCCGTGGCCGGCGAGGCTCGGTCCCCGTCGGCGTGGGCGAGCCGAGCCTCGCCGTGGCCGGAGCGAGGCTCGGCCTCGCCGTTCTTGGGCGAGCCGACCTCGCCGGTTGCCGGCGGGGCCGACCTCACCAGCCACGGCGAGGCTCGGCCCCAGCCGCTTATTGGCGAGGCTCGGCCTCGCCAGGGCGTGGCCGGAGTTCTCGCCGGATACGCGAGGCTCGGCCCCGCCGTACCGGGCGAGCAGTCGGCCTCGCCCGAAGAACGGCGAGGTCGGCCGAGGCCGAACCTCGGCTGTTCTTAGCGAGCCGACCTCGCGCTGCCTGGCGGGCCGAGCCTCGCCGTATCCGGGCGAGAACTCGGCCACGCCGGCCGGGCGAGGCCGAGCCTCGTCGGCTATTGGCGAGGCTCGGCCCCCGCAGAACCGGCGAGGTCGGCCCCGCCGAATCGGGCGAGGTCGGCCTCGCCCAAGAACGGCGAGGCCGAGCCTCACCAGGCCGGCGGGGCCGAGCCTCGCCACCACGGCGAGGCTCGGCCCGCCGGCCATTGGCGAGGTCGGCCCCGCAGCTATTGGCGAGGTCGCCTCGCAATGGCCGGCGGGGCCAAGCTCACCAAGCCGGCTGGGCCGACCTCGCTGGCCTCGCCTCTGGCCGGTCGCGCCGGACCAAGAACGGCTCAGCGGACCGGCGACCGGCCGAAGATGAAACAAAAAAAAAGAAAAGGAAAGGAAAAAAAAAAGAAAATAAAAATAAAAAAATTCGAAAAAATAAAAAAATAATATTAAAAAATTGGACGAAAAGTGAATTGGGTAGATTTGGGACAAAAGTAAAAGTTTGAGGTTTTTTATAAGACAAAAAAAAGTTTGGGATATAATTGGGACAAAGGGTAAAGTTGGGGGTTTTTTAGGGAATTGGGCCATGTATAATATATGAAAGTGGGCAGTGGCCCAACCCAAAATTTTAATTTGGGGGGGGTGAGTTGACACTCTTGGCAAATTATAAATTTAAGGTGAGGGGTTGAGATATGTAGATTCTAAAATAAGAATGTATCTAATACCGAGCACGTAGTCAGCCTTATTATCTAGATTTCTTAAGGAAAAAATTACTTAATCGATCGTGCCGATTCAGTCATAAACTTTTCAATTTTGCCAATTTAGTCTTAAATCTTTACGCGAAATTTCAATGTTGTCATTCCCGATCAGTCTTTGCTGGAAATCGCTGACGCGGCGGTATGCCGCGTAGGACGACCGGTGGTGATCGGACCGCCACGTCAACGATTTCCCCCGAAAATAAATCGAAAGGATGATGTTGGAATTTCGCGCAAAGGTTTGGACTAAATTGGCAATATTGTAAAATTTAAGACTAAATTAGCATCCGTACAATAAATTTAAGATTGATCGGGTAATTTTTTTATTTTCGAAGTACACCCAATTAAATCTCCAAAAGTACAGCAGTCCCCCCCATTCAAGAGGCTGGAGCACACTGTCGTGCCCCTACAGATGATTTGAACTGTGTTGCGATCAAAACTCAGACAATGAGCGATGAAGATGAATGTACTTACCACTTGGAGTGACTCTTAGGGTTAGCGACATCATGTAACTACTATAAACAGCTACAAAGGGGATTGTAGCATGCCAACATTTAGAGGAGAAAAAGAAGAAGAACTGGGTATAGCTATCTTACACACTAACCATGGACTGTCAAGAGGGTATTAGGTCTTTAAGAATATCTTTGGCAAACCTCTCGCAAGACGAGACATTAGGACGATTAAAACGACCCGAGCATCGTCGGAACATCTTATAGCAGCTTGTAAGAAACCCCCGTTGCAAGTTTCACGATGAACAAGTGCCGAACGGGCTCCTGTAGATATTGGACGAGGAGGGAGATCTCAAAAATGGGGCCATGGTCAGTTAATAGATGGGCACGAATTGGTGTTTCTGTTGGTGGCATGCCTCGTGGCCGGGCAGTGCTTGCCTGTATGCTTCGGCCCCGCTCAACCACTTGGGACTCAAAAGGATATACGGCTGGAGATGAACGAAGGGAGAAGAGTACCAAAGCTTAGGAAACGTTAAATGTTCGACTTAGTAGGGAATGGACCCAAACAATGTCGCCAAATAATTGAAACGAGACGCTTGTCAATTAGCAATTTGAAGGTACGAGGGTTGGCATTGATAGCATAGTGATTAAGGGGTTCTTTTTTGTGTTTTAAGCATATCATAAAGGACCATAAGATGTGTTAGAAAGTCCAACCTAAAAATTTAAATTGATACATTATCAATTTAGTAGTGAATAGACCTAAACAATGCCGTCAAATAATTGAAATTAGACGTTTGTCTATGAGCAGAGCAGATTAAAGGTACGAAAGTTGGCATTGATGGCATAGTGATTAAGGGTTCTTTTGTATGTGCGCGTGCTTTAAACAAACCATAAAGGACCATAAGATGCATGTTTTGCACAGATTCTGTTCACTTGTTCATTTTTATATTTTTGACTCTCGTGATATTTGTGTTGTAACTATTGGTTAATGGCTTGACAAAAGTGAGCAATTGTGAACATGTCTCTTCAGATCAATTTCTACAACAGTTGCCACATGTCTTTTCGGATCATTTTCTGCGGCAGTTGTTTTTGTCTTTAATAGACATATCCGAAAGAACATGTCTCTTCAAATCATGTTCTTTCAAATCATGTCCTATCAATCTCCATAAATTGAAATGGACTATCATTCATTTGAGAGAGGCATACCTAGCATTTCTGTGCTTAGAAAGTTGTTTCAATCTCTCTGTGTTCAAAGTTAGAAAATGAATCTATTCTCTTCAATTATTTATTTGTTAAATCTCTAAGTGTGCCGGTTCGAGAAAAAATTCGAGTGAGTCCTATATGTATAGTGCTAATACAAAATAGGTTCAAGATGTATCTTGAAAGGCATAATTCGTAAATTTGCAAAATACTGTTGTTGACAGGAGAGCTAATTGGCTTAAGGAGATTTGATAATGTGCACCTCATCTCATGTCTAATTCTATTACAATTTTGTAGCGATTTTGCAAGTCTATATTTGGTTTGTAATTTAGTCCTTTTTACTTGTTAAGAAAATTCATTCAATATATTTATTCACTGACTTGGTCAATATTAAATTTGTTATCGCTTTCTCAGAGTTATTATTTCAGTTTCTAATGGTTACAACAAACAATATGAAATTTGTTAACGCAACCCCGTTACAGCCACGCCACCGAATGCAAGTGGGAATAAAGCAAGAATGATCACATGCTTAATACACCACAAATAAACCAGGATTTTCCAAGTTGGAGGAACCCCTTGTCGCCAATGAGCTTCTCTCTTTTCTCATGGCCATGCCAACTCGAGTCACAAGCTCGACCTCGTGGCTCGCAACTTGATCGACAGGTAAAAAGATGTAACTTGAGATCGATTGTAATATTTTGTAACGGCGAGATGTCTGACCTTATAAAATTAGGTCAATCAGCCATAGAAGCACCCACTGCGATAGGTTGTAACAAGTAGTCATTCTAGGGGATATTATTCTATAGCTTTAGTGCTTTGCATAAGAAAAAAAGCAAGTAACTTTTTGAAAAGAGCTCATGTCAGTTCACAAAGTGATCTGCTAGTGCCGTTGACAGCACCATTGCCTCCTTTTGGTGCTTTTGACTTGCTTTTCTATTCTCCATGGTGATCAGGAGAGAGATAAAGAGTAGGATCAAGATGAAGTTATCAGCACAATTTAGAGTATCGGTTCAACCGTCAAAATTAGCAGGAAAAACTACAGCAAGATACGAAGAGATTAAGTTAGAGGGAAATTATTTGTATTTAAATAAAAGGCCGATTAAGCACCCATAAACAAACAATGTGTGATCATGAGTATATATATGCAGTTATGTAGATAATCGTGCCTGTTACGCCCTGACTTTCTTGAATGCATATATCCTACGACAATGAAGGAGGTGTTCGAGAAATGTTTTTGCCTTGCATGATGGGTCTTTTTTTCTCGAGTTATCAAGTGCTTCAAAGATCATTGGTGAATCGAATCAATCACTATGAATTTCTTATTTGTCTTAGGGCTATTCGTGGAAAAGAGAGACCGAAAGTCGAGTGTAATTACATTGTGTGATTGCGCGCACAAATAATCAATGACTAATTCTTGCTGATCCTACATCATGTCATGTTGTTCCCTTAAATGGTCGCTATTTGTGTCTCATGACGTCTTTTTTGGATCATTTGAGGTTAGTCATTGACATATTTTGTTTCGCGAAAAATGAATGATTTAAAAATTATTTTTCTAAAAATGACCGCTTGAAATAATTAGATAATGAAAATATTTTCATTATTAACAATAATTTATGTGTAAATATTTTTCGTCCATTTATTTTAGTAAACGATACAAGACCCTATTTTTAGGAAAAATATTTTTCAAATAATTATGACTCGTAAGGAGGCAATTTTACCCTTTGGGTATTTTGGTAAAACAGCCAAAGTCTCGTGGCATTTGCAGTGTCATCACGCCAATCCGATTTTCTCATTCCGCCACTTTACTTGAGCTCCGCCGCCGCCGCCGCCGCCGCCGGATGAGCACCGCCGATCTCTCTCTCTCCTCCGCCTTCAATCCAATTCACCGCCCGCTCTCGCGTCGTCCGACGTTCTCCTCCGCCCCCCATCTCCTCTCTCCACCTCCATCGCCATCTCCTCGGCCGCATCCGCTCCTCCTCGGCTCAAGCCGCGCCGATCGCCGCGGGATCCTCCGCCGGACGTCTCCGATCACCATGTCCAGCCACGGCGCCGACCGGCTCCCGGACCGGCTCCCGCTCGAACTGAGCGAACTTGACGACGAGCCCGACTTCGAGAAGCTCCTCAGCCCCGGCGGCCGCATCTCCATCTGCGGCTTCGGTTCTCTGCTCTCCGGTACGTAACAGCGTCCCGTCCGAGTCGTTCCGTTTCCTCCGCGCGACGTGTGTTCTCGGATACGGACGTGCGGATCGAACGTAGAGTCTTGTGCGGTTTGCTCTGCGATTCGCTGACGCGCGATCGTGAATTTGTGGCCAGAGCGAAGCGCGAGGAGTACGTTTCCCGATCTGGTTGACTTTAGGGTGGCGAGATTGGACGGATTCCGGCGCGTTTTCGCGCACGCCGCTCCTATTTTCTTCGAGCGCGGCATCGCCAAACCCGAAACCATGGTCATAATCTGTAGATTGCGTGAATTTTGAGCAAGTATGATCATATTAGCTGCATTGTTAAACCCTACTTTTGCTCTGCTATTGGGATGCTGCAGGAGATCTCCAGCCTCAGTGTGGAGCCATGTGACGGCGAGACTCTCGTGGTTACGGTCTTTGAGATTGAGAAATCCGAGGTATGGCGAGAGAACATCATCGAACTAGTATCGGGTTCTAAGATTGCGCAATTCAGCTAATCTTTCACACTGATGATACTAACTGAGTGAGTATGTTGCTTGATGAAGTGAAGATACCAGCTTTCATCAGGAGGGAACTCGAGTTCCGATTTCTCGCTGTGAGTTGCTGCGTAGTCGCTTTGAACCGACTCATTTACTCAACTTTCTCTGCTCTGGTTTAGATATTCTGCTTCCTGTTAGTAAAGAAAAAGTTCTCTTCTTGTAGGTCAGGCCTCAGATGCTTGATGGCAAGCCCTTTGATAATCTAGCGGTATGCGAGTTTTGTCTTTTCAGGACAGTTGGAATGACTGCTACTTGGTATCCTGCCTTCGCTAAGTTTTATGACTTAGTGAAGTCTGTTGTTTCACTAATAGAATTCTGAATCTGATTCATGCATTGAAAACTGTTCAGGTGCTTTGCGCTCGCTATAGCGATGAGGAATTTTTCCGAATCAGATGCCGAGGTACTTTTTCTACCGGGTCTTATTTTTCATGCGCTATCTTCTCGATCAATACAAAAGTGCTTGCAGGATTTGTGCTTTATATGAACAAAGTCTTTGATGGGAAGATTTATTTCTGACTGATATGTGATATCTCCTTGGGATTTCCAAATGTTGAGAAGGAGAATTAGACGCTCTATGACCTGCTTCAAATGATACTTGACGATGCATTCTATATAGCAGGGGTACATCTTCATAGGGTTGCATTAGTTGAAATAAATTTTTCTAAATCTTGTAACTGAGACAGTTGCTTAAAAGCTTATGGAGCTTGGAGACAATATATCAACAACCTACAGGCTTGTGGAAGCAGTGTTAGCTTATGGTTTGCTTAAATATCTCCTCGCATGATGGTAGACAGATCGATCCCTCGTTCACATCATTAAAATACCTCTGCTTTACTGCTCTGGCTGCAATTGTCTTATGGATACAAATCCTATCCAGTTTAGAGGGCTAAATGATTCAATTAACCCTCTCTGAGCACGACGCATCACTCAGAGGATTCAAGGGTTAAAATTGCTTATAGTCGCTTGTATATCAATCAATCACTGATTTCTTTCCGAGTGTTGTGTCATGATCTTGAGGGGTAAATAGAGTCAAGTTACCATCCCTCTTCCAAAGTCGAGATAATCCAAATCCTTGTCTTATTTACTGCTGGTGTGCATTGTCATGCAGGAAGCAAGGAGATCTATTTTCAACATTATGGACGTTACGATATAGATAAGATATGGCGGGATGATGTTTTTCCTTGCCGCGTTTATCTTAGGCACTGGTAAGTCCTTTGAGACTATTGAAGGATTGCTTACAGCACCTGATTGCTAGTGGATGCAGACAGGGAGCACTGCAAGCTGATGCTCAGATATCCTTTTCATATTTGCACAATTGTCTTAGTTTTTGTTCCTGGTATTCCAAATCTTCCTTCTCTTGGAAAATCTCTGCTTGGGAAAGAAAAGATGGATTAGTAGTTGATCCAGCCTCTAATCATGTCAATATCATACGCAGCAACTTTTGCCGATGCTTTCAAAATAATGCTAACCAAAATTTAGCTGGTGATTTTTCACTGATGATGCTGTTATTGAACATGTAGTGTCTTGGCCGCAAAGAATCTGGGTGATGTTGCCTACGACAATTTTCTGGATCACACATACCTGGCCGACTGTAAAACGACGATCAGAGAGTATTTGGAAACAACAGGGTCGGGCATCATGGAAGAGGAGCCTCCAGAATCCCTGAGAACCCGTTATGGCGGCTAATGTCATTGGTGATGTTTCTTCTGCAACAGATATTCTTGCTTTGGACCTTGTGGTGTTCATCCTCCCACATTTTCGAGAAGCCTAAAGAAAGCGATTCTGTATAATTGTGATGTTAAAGATTTCTTCTTGCGTTATTGGTCGATTGTAATTAGGCAATCAACAGAAATCTGGTTGTAAAGCTTTTCACAAGATGAATTCCGCAGGTCTGCTCCTCCTTGCATAAAACACGCGCGCACATACAGAGTAACAGCAAAAAAGAGAAGCAGGCTACTGATAAACAGTGACTTTTCAGTTGAAGAGAGCCAGTTCCTGTGCTTCCGTGTGTCTGATTTGATACCCGCACAAAGACTCTTCCTAGCAGACACAAAGTAAAGAAGATGGATCAACCAAACTCTCCATTCTATAATGGCCAAAAATAATCTCCATTTTATGAATTCAGAAGAGAATTCTTCTACCAACACATATGCAAATTTCTGTGATGATAAACTTGACCATGACAATGAGCGCTATGTATTCCTACGATAGGTACACATGAATGCAAAGTCGATTAATTTGAAATTGACACGGCTCGACTCTTCAGTGCCCTTTTCTCCAAGTATCAAACTGTCATCATATCGGCAAGGCTTAAGTCATTTTAGTGACGAAGTGAGAACTCCAACGTGTTCGGATGAAATATTTTGAATTTGCACCAGTAATCAAGCAGATGCATTCAGAAAGGAAGATGTGCATGGAGTCCAGGAGTTTTGACACTGCAACCAAATATCAGTTCAAAGGACTCTTAAGTTCCAAAAATTCAGATTTGGCTCGGCCTTGGGTTTCGAAAATGAAAACCTAAGTTTGAAAGCATAAGGCTCGAAACTGCAAACCTCACAATTGAGCATTGCGTTGGGAGCTCCAACTGCTCCAACATGATTTCATCCATAGGGTCAACGAATTGAGAACCTCTATGCTCATTGGAGTTTGTCCCTCTACATAAGGCCAAAATCTTCTCATGGCCCTAAAATCATTGAGCTGATAGAAGACCTACCCACCAAACGAGGCTGAGGAATCATAGGCAAAAAACCCTTGAATATGATAATCTTGGGGTCTGTCTGAGCTCTGGTTTGCTATCATCAGTTTGAAATTTTTAGTTACCTAAACTTCAAAAGAGCACAAGATAGCTGCTGCACGTTGGAGTGCCAAACAAAAAGGTAAGGGCTTGTTTGCTTAATATTTTGCAAAAGTCAAAAAGTGTTTTTTGTTTCTTTTTAGCGATGATTCGAAATGGTATGCAAATTCTAAAAAAATAGAAATATCATGTGTGAATTTACGTATTGATATTTGTGTATTGTGAAAGTTTCGTGTGTTTCAAATTTAAAAAAAAAGGGTCAAAGTGTGTGAGCCATAAGAATTAGATTAAACAAAAAAGAAAAAAGTAAGAGTCGCTTCGGTGAAACGAAGAAGAATCTCTCTAGTATTGCATCACCACAAATGAAAAATACAGTATTGTATTGCCAAAAAGAAAGAAAAAAGATGGGATAATAATACAAACAGTCCCTGAACTTTGTCTTAATGTCCAATTTGGTTCCTGAACTTTTAATTTGTTCAATGTAGTCCCTAAACTTTAGCCTAATGTTTAATGTGGTCCCTGAACTTTTAATTTATTCAATGTGGTCCATGAATTTTTGGTACATGTTCAATATAATCCCTAAACTTTATAAAAATGTTCAATATAGTCTTTCCATTAATTCAAGTTCAGGGACTATATTGTACATTTTAATATAGTTCAAGAACTAAATTGAACATATACCAAAAGTTAGATCACATTAAACAAATTAAAAGTTTAGGGATCACATTGAACATTGGGTTAAAGTTCAGGGACTACACTGAACAAATTAAAAGTTTATGGACCAAATTGCACATTGAGTCAAAGTTCAGGGACTGTTTGTGTCATTTTCTCAAAAAAGATCTGATGGGATTACTAGATTATATGAATAGAGTATTTTAATGCGTGAATTAGGGAAAATTTTTAGCATGGATGGATTTATATTTATCAAAATCTCTAAATTTGATAGGGTAATAGATTTGAAAAAAAAGAAAAGAAGATGTCAAAAGTAAAAGGAAAGGGAGAGTGTAAAATTCAAAGCAAAAGAAAACCAGACTCCTTGTGTCCAATGATGTCTCGAGATTCAGACACTACAAATTGGTCTTTTTCTCCATTCTCGATGATTCAAATTTGTTTCCGAGGTCTCATCTTGTGCCAGCCAAAAAAATAAATAAATAGGAGATAGAGCTATTAAAATATATATCATAAAAGGAAATTAAAAATATATATATTTAAAAAGGACAAGTTTATAAGGTCAAAAAGGAAAATTCAAAAGAAGGGCAAAATTGGACCCACCCATTGAAGGGTCCTATGAGCCTGCATGTTCTTTTTCGCTTTATCTCTTTCAATTTCGTTTTTTTATATTTCTTAATTTTGGCCAACCTTGTCACATGTCTAACAAGTTTATTTGAAAATTCATCTTTCCATTGTGGGCCTCCCCTAAAATCATATTTATATTCATATAAGAACAAAAAAGTCATGATTCATAATCGAAACACCATTATATTCGAATATTCAAGACTTGATATACGAGTCGAGGTTGATCTGATTTAATGTCGAATTCAGGAGATTTTGCGGAAGCTAGGCTAGGAAAAGAGGCGCTGATAGCATGATAGAAATTGAGGAACCGATAGAAAATTAAAGAGTATAGTTCGGAAGGAACTCCGGTTGTATTTCTCATCTCAATTGTACATGTATAGTACGAAAAGAAAACGGAAAAGAATATACATGATATCATTTTCCTATTTTATCTTTTGCATATCTCATCACGCGGATTGACCGAATCAATTAGTCCGCAATCCGTGTGATTAGAATCAGAATCAAGGATCAAATCAGATCTTTTCTCTAACAAAGTTTCGATCGTGAGCTCGAGCTATCTTCCATATATCTGAGCTCGACTCGGCTTCAATTCAACTTGGTTATCATAATTACATCTCGGTTTAATATTCACGAGCTGAGCACGGGTATAGAGAATTTGTTTGCATTTTCTAAGGTCAAGGTTGAGTGTGACACCCCAAAAATTTCACGTGAAAGAGCTCGCCCTAAATTCAATATTTGTACCTTACCAGCCGCTGAGAATAGTTAAAAGGGCTGTCCGCTTGGTCCCATGCCGGACTTTCTCATCAATGCTTCATCAAACCACATTGATGTTGAATCAATTTGATGCACCAAGTATACAATAACCGAAGCGTTTCGATCCTCCTTTTCGTTTACGGAGGGAATACTCATCTTCGATAAATATATCTCGAGTTTACACCATATCTTACTAATCCCCGAGTCCGAAACGGATCCGTCGGACCCAGATTCCTCCGATAATTCGACCTCGACCGAGCTCTACCGATCGCGATTAGCGTACCAACAGTTTACATTCGAATTTTCGGAGTTTCCGAAGAATGCAGCTCCCTAATTATCAGCAAAAAAACGCAAGGAACACTGGAAATACGGTTTTGAATATTCAAAAAAACCACACAAAAATTTATTGGCTCCCCCCATTAACAAGCTTAAACCTTGAATGGGTACCGAAACGGAAGGGGGGCCAAAATCTTCTCTAATCTCACCACCTCTAAGCAAGCCACGTGGCATGATTAACGCTAATCTCTCCCTTCTCTCCCTCCTTAACATGTGAAATTCCATCACCAGCCGATCCACTTTCAAAAAATCCCAAACCTTTCTCTCTTTCTCCTCTCTCTTTTAACCACTCCACCTCTGTAATGTGTTCACTCATCTTCTTCAACCTCCTTCAAGCACATTAACACCACCAAACCCACCATGGAAAATGTATGAGCTTGCACTCTCGCTTTTGGTCACTCTCTTTTCACCTGTTTAACCATACATTCGTTCGTTCGTTCGTTCGTTCTTCTTCTCCATCTTTCGCGATCGCTGATGGGAAAGTTGGGGGAGCACGAGGCCATGGCCGATGCCGCCAAGTCCCGGCTGGTGACGGACATTTGCTCCGCCTCCAACCACGCGATCGCATGCTCCCACAGGACACGTCGTGGACCGCCCTGCATCGACTGGTATCGCCTTCTCGGAGTACGTTTTTTTTCCCGGGGTTCTCTTCCTCTCGCGGGCTAAGCATTTCTCTTTCTGGGTCCTGCTTGCTCTGTCTCACTCTCCGGTTTTCTTTTCACGGGGCTGCTGCATTAGGTAGAAGAGAATGCAGAGCTGGATACCATCCGGAAACAGTACCATAAGCTAGGTGAGTTTTTTGGCTCAGATGAAGTATGAGATGCGTAGCTTATGCACAATGTGATCATCTTCTCCCGTTCTGCGGCAGCGTTGCAGCTTCATCCAGATAAGAATCATCATCCGAAAGCTGAGCATGCATTCAAGCTCGTCTCAGAGGTAAGAGATGTTCACCGACGATGACTCCTTTTACTGTTCAGTGTGATTCTTGAATTGTTCCAGCAATTATTCTTTGCTTGAATACAGGATGTGTAGTTTCCTTCCATAGAATTTTCTTTGCTTGAACCATCTTCTCAAGTGGCTACTGTATACTGATTCCAATAGAGAGACTAGTCCAAAACATATGGGGCAATGTGCTTGATTTGACATTAGATAAGTAACTTGACTCCTTCCAAAACGGGGTGGGATCCTATATAATCGATTGTACCTTACAACGTTTCTCACACGTAATAATTTACCTATTTTGGGTCCTATGATTCGTAATATATCACAAAAAAATTAGTAATACATCTAAGTTAATTGTAGATTCTTTTTCTAATTAGCAAATTACCTATAATAGGTCGTAACTTTTCTTTGATATTTGTCCTCACTAATAGTAATTTGTTCGTAAAATATCATTGCAAAGCTTATTTTTCAAGAGGGCGCAATTTCCCTTTTGGGGTCATAAGTTCTTTAGATTCTATGATTCGTAAAATAATAATCTAGCTAAATTAATGGCAAATTTCCTTTGTCTTATTGTTACTAAAATAAGTAACTAATCATAATCGGTAGCACAATATTTCGTAAAGTTTTGCAACGTGTACATCGGTGAATTTTATTTATTCATCGTAACTTTTATTAATTAAATGTAAATTCAATCGATTTTGCGTCCCGTGACTTACTTTGTCCGTAACCTTCTTCTAACGTTAGTAACTCATGACACAAAACCGATTTTGCAAAGCAGACTTGATGGACTACGGTTTTACCCTTTTTATTTAACTATCCCCCATTGAATGCAAGATTGGTCCCGTAAAAACACCTACGGGACGGTAAAATTTCCCAAAAGTGCTCCCCTAATAAGAAAATGAGAAAATACCACAAAAAACTCCAAACTATGTCACTTGTGATAAATTTAACATGAACTTTTTTTTGTAACACGAAAAATTCCAAATTATATCACTTGTGACACATTTACCCCCACAATATTTTGGCCCAAGAGCATTTTCGCTTTTTTTCTATTTTTTTTTCCTTTCTTCTCTTTTCCCTCCGCCGGTCATTGTGGAGGGAAGCCGGCGAGGGCGATCCTCGCCGGCGTTGGGGTTGGGCGAAGGCTGCCCTGGCCAGTGTCAGGCGAGAGTCACCCTCGCCGAAACAAAAAGGAAAAAAACAAAAAAAAGGAAAAAGACGAAAATACCCTTGGGCCAAAGTATTGTGGGGGTAAATATGTCACAAGTGATATAGTTTGGAGTTTTTCGTGTCACAAAAAAAATTTCAGGATAAATTTATCACAAGTGATATAGTTTGGAGTTTTTCGTGTCACAAAAAAAAAATTAGAGTAAATTTGTCACAAGTGACATAGATTGGGATTTTTGATGGTGTTTTTCCTAAGAAAATTCACATGACCTCTTTATATTGTGTATTTGCGATAGAGATTCTTTATCGTATGTCCGTTTATTATATTTCAATTCACGACACGTGCGTAAAATCTTAATACTGTTTGATTTGCTTCTAATTGTAAAAGAAAAAAATTAGTGAATCATGTCATCATTTTATCAAAGTAGCGCATCTTGACACAATCAAGAGATAAATGACCTCTACCCATTTGCTTGAAGTTGTAGAATCTGAACCGATGTTCCTTGAACTACGCTAAAAGGACTCGAACCATTTCTCAGTGTCTTGGTTTCCTCGTGACCATGATGTTTTTAAAGAATCTCACATGCCACCCACAGACATCTGCACACAGTTACTGGTTAGGTGCCATCACATTTATGATCACTCTTGAAAGAATTTCCAACTTCACCTCAACCAGAAATGGAATCACTGTGTCATTCCAGCGCTCAGGGCTCACTTCTATTAAAATTTTACCAGCTCTTTCCCCCCGCGTGCTTGGATAGGAGACTATCACAACTTGTGCGGACTTGTGCGGTGATTAATCGAGTGTTCGAAGAGTCTCTAGCCCTTCATTGCTAAGGCGGGAAAGTGCGCAATGACCTAAATATGCAACTTTTATCTGTGGGGTCAGGCATATTCATGTCTATCTGATGATGCAAAGAGGAACGCCTTCAACCTGGAGAGATGGAGAAACCTGTGCTTGGACTGTCAGAGAATCCCACACACAAGCTCAGCTTTTTCAAAGCCCACAGATGGATCAAAACCCCGGAGAACTTTATCTGGATTCAAGGACATCAGAGAGAGGTTCAAAGAGGAAGCCAGGGTGATAGAGAGGTGCTTGAGAGCCGCCGCGGCACTGAAGCAGGCAACCATCAACATTTCATCGAACACCACGCGTGCAAGCAAGACCCGTCTCGGCAACGCCCACAAAGAGAGCCCAATCTTCGACCCGTCGCACTATAAGGCTGATGGGTATCCTCATTTGAGGACCAGGATGTACAAGCATTCAGACAACTTTCGGTGCTCTAGTCTGAGAGAGAGAAACAAGGGCGCAGAGTTTGGTTCTCCAATCTTTATGGGCAAGAAAACATCAGCAGAGAAGGGGTTGAGCAGCAGATCAGTTTGTCTCCGTTCTTGACACCAAAAGGAATTGCTTCCATCTTCCATCTTCCATCTTCCACTTCATTTTTTTAAAGGGTGTTTGTCAGATCAAGGTAAAGTTAAAATGCGCTAATACAAGAAATTGCTGATGGATTTCTGCCATCGGTTAGCTGGGCTTTGTTGTAGAGCCCATGTTATAAGTCCTTTCCAAAGGCCATTTTTCTCATTGGCTATTTACAATAATCAATTAAGTCATTTGAATCACATGATTTGTGCAATCTAAGTTTTTTCCATCGTTAGTACTACACAGTGCTTATGGAGATGCTGATATTGCAATTCTTAGGATTAGAAAAAGTGGAAGGGAAAAAAGAAAATGTATTTCGAGTCTCATGATTTTGGTATTTCATTAACGTGACGAACTCTCTTGTTTGAATGTATTGCGTATGCCGATTTATAAAAATAATCAAATTCTCATACAATCGGATTTCTATCGCAAGGTGATCCTCCCTTTTCAACGATGACATATCTAGGGGGTCAATGAGCAAAGCATCCTCATTTTCTGGTCATATATGACTTGGTATGATTAACACATAAATAACACGAGCTTATATTTGATTGTCAGGGTAACAATTAAGATGGGATAAGATAAAGTGAGATGAAAAATCCCTCGAATAGTAAATGTTGACATATTTATATCTATCAAGTGTTTGGTACACTCTAGAGTGAAAGAGTCAATGAAATTATACAACTAAAAAATTGAAATTTCGATTAAATTTAGAAAATTCAAATAGTTTAAAAATTGAAAAGGAAAAACCCTAGATCTAAGGATATGGCCGCTGCAACGGTGGCCGCTATGGAAAACCACAACCACCGCCGTTGCCTCTGCATGGCGATGAAGATCCGTGGATCTGAGGCCGCGATAGAGAGAGGGGGTCGGGAATTTCAAGGCGACCACTAGCGTCGCCTCTACATCACCCTAGAGTAATTGGGGTATGGGTTGTCGGCGATACCGAAGATATCCAATCTCTCCATCATCGTCTTCACCTCGCCCCTCGAGAGTTCTCCGTCCTCCACTCTGCCTCTACCCACCTCACTTCTTCGACAACCCTAGGAATCGCGGCCCTTACCAGCGGTCGATGAGGGCTTTGCTACCCGGCAAGGGCTCGGCGACCCTTACGGGCCACCATAAAAAAAAAAAAACAAGAAGAAGAAAAAAGAAGCAAAAGAGAAGAAAAGATAAATAAAATAAGAAATATATTTAAAAAAATATAAAAAAATTTATCCATGTCAGCGTTGGTCGTCGTCGATCATATCACTTAGGACGGCCGGCATCCATGTTAGCGATTTGCAATCAAAATTGGCCAGATGGACTTAATTAGCAATACTTGAAAGTGTTTATGACTCAATTGGCACAATTAAAAGGTTTATGATTAAATTGGTAAAAGTACAGTAAGTTTATAACTTTTTTTTTAAATTCTCAAATGTATGATGGCTCATATACTCAACAGCATGGCATCTGTCTTCCTTGGAATGGTAGAGGTCCAAGATTCGGCGACTTTGGAACCTTGGATCTTTGGATCGGATGAAAAAAAATTTGTGACAGAATCCTCTTGGCCATTGTCTTACAAAGCCCCCTTCAAAGAAGAAGAAGAAGTTCCTATGGATGAAGCTCCTTTTAGGTTTCGTGTTAAGAGCGCACAGTAGAAGCGCAATACTTTTCGCTTGGGAAGATCACCAAGAGGGAGCCTATCTAGTTCTTGATGCAGAAGGATATCTAAATTAAAGGGAAGCTCACGTGTGAAGGGGAGATTGTTAGGATGCATGTGTGAGTGTGAGTTGTGCTAAAGAAATCCCACATCGGAGAATTAATATGGTGTATAGCAGTTAATATATCCTAATTAATTCATAACTCATTAGCCTTAGCCTTTGAGTGAAGATAAGTATAACTGGATATGTTAAAAGGTTCAGATTTAGGATCTATCTAGATGATCTCCCCGAGAAAAAGGTATCGGGCTTTCACTATGCGCTCCTAACATTTCGGCTTATTGATCGATTAAAAATTGAGGTTGAACTAATGTGCTTATCTCTCTTTAGTTCGGATCATGTCGATTTTACGATGATGCGGTAGATAAAATGTGTTGAGATGTCTTGGACTAATCCAGCAACTTTAGAGGAAGATTTTCTGAATTTGCAATTAGTAAAAGAATCTAAGACGGTGCAAAAGAAAAACTTGAGCATTATATGATTAGTTTGAAAGAAAGTGAAATGTTGAACACGGTCAGATTGTGTGGTGGCTGCAGTTGCTTGTCACTTTGTCCCACGAAATCTCTCTCTTAAACAGTACACGATATTTAAAAACTAAATTGAGAAAGAAAGGGCGAGCGAGCGAACTAGTCTTTGCACAAGCAATGATGCTCACCTATGGTCAGCGGTGGCCTTAGAAGGAGAAGAAGGAAAAAGAAAAAAAAAATAGAAAAGAAAAGAAATTCAGAAATTTTTATAAAAATTTCTGAAATTGTTCACTAGATTTATATTGTATAAATATAATTTTTTAAAAAAATTTATAAGAACAAGTTTTCATATATTAGGTTAAATAAAGAAGTTTATTAGCAATACGGGTAGGGTCGGATCAAAAAATTTGCATTGCGATAGATGAGTCATAAATGGATTAAATGGGTCATGGGTCAATTTAAGTGAGACTATTAAGACACGAATGATAACCATTCTATTCTACAAATCAATTTCTGACGAGAAATAAATTTTTCCATTTTCTATTCTCTGGACGTATTTATGAGCAAAAATACATCTTTGATAACGACACAAAATTTCTTTCTTACGGACGGGCGGTGGGTGGACGGTGGACAGCGGCAGGAGGCAATCGGCGGGTGGACTGCGGAGGTTGGACGCGGGCGGGAGACGGCGGAGGATGGCAAGTAGGTGGTGGCGAGAGGCGGACAGTGACGGACGACGGCAGGAGACGGGAGCAGGCATCGACAAGGGGAGGCAGCCGTCGGGTGGATGGTCGGCTAGTAGCAAGGGCGAGCGATAAGTACAGTTTTTATTTCTAATTTTTGTTCCAAAAATAGAATAGTAAAATTTTGTTATTTCTTATCAAAATTTGTTCAAAAAATAGAAAAAATGAAATTGCGTTATCATTTCTGTTCCAAACCTGTTCTCTGAAACAAATAAATAGAAAGGCAGAAAAACAAAATGATTATCACACGCTCCCTTAGGGTGCGCATGGCAACGATTCTGTGCCCGGAAACTGATTCTGCTCAGAAATGATTCTTTTTTATTCTGTGCCCGGGAATAATTTCTAAGCATTTGATGGAGTTTGGTAACTGCCCAAAATTTCTATTCTTAGAATAGAAAAAGAACAGAAATGCGTTTGGTAACTACACAAAATTTCTTTTTATTAATAATATTTTAAATTTTTTAATATTTCTTTCTTTTTTTTTTCCTTTTTTTTCCTTGGCCATGGCCGGTCGCTGGCGCCGGCGACCGGCCACAGGCTAGGGTCTGCGAGGGCGTCGCAGTCCTTGCCGCCGGCCTCACCGGTCGTGACGGCGAGGTCAGCTTCGCCTTGGCCGGGCAAGGCTTGACCTTGCCCACATATGGCGAGGCCGACCTCGCCGTCGCCGAGGGTGGCGATGGCGAGGTCGAGCCTTGCCCGGCCAAGGCGAGGTCGACCTCGCCGGCCTTGGCGGTCGCCGGCAGCAGGCCGGTGGCAGACCGGGAAAAAAATGAAGAACAAATAAAAAAGGAAGAAAAAAACCAAGAAGAATCAGAAATGGAAAAATTGTTCCAGAATCAAGAAGCTACTTTTTTTTGCTTGTTCCAAAACTAATTATGGGAATAATTTTTTGCAAATTTGTGCCCGGGCACAAAAATTTTAACAAACGGATTTCTGTTCCCAAACTGATTCTAGGAACAAAAGAATAGAAATTATCACTATTTGGCAAGTTACCAAACGCCTCCTTAATGACCCTTCCGTCAAACAATTAGGTAACCCGACAAGCCGTTTTTTGACACATAAAAAAAAAAAAAAAGGCCGTTCGAACGGAGCCGTGGCCAGCTGTTGATGAGACGAGAAGAAGAGGTGGCGACGACCTCTTTATCGTTATGGCGCCGTCGCGATATGCAAGACTTTTGTGACCGCGACAGTATTCTTTCCTTTTCTTTTGGCTGGCAAAGACGATGAAAGTTGTTCTCTTTGACCTTCGTGGGATTCTATTTGCATCCAACTACATACAGCCACATTTCAAATCGCTTTTCATAGAACTCTGGGCAGGATAAGCACTTCGAGAACTAAAGTTCTCCTCTCTTTTTTTTCCATTTATTTCGCTAAAAGATGAATAATTTTAATTTTTTTTTCTAAAAACGATCGCTCATATCACTTAATAAGAACAAACGAAACGACAAAATTCATCTAAGAAAATATTCAGAAATGAATTACCCTCGATAGCAGAAATCTTTTTTAACGACTAGTTATTTCAAGCGATACGGGCGACGTATTAAAGAAAATATTCTCCAAATCGTTCATTTTCCCGCGAAACAAACGAAGCCATCTCGAGTCGCGACCAGAAGAAGCTCCACGTTCAAATTGGACCGGCATGTCGAGTATTGGATACTTTCGAACTCCGTCCTGACCGGCCGTATCGCAGGTCTTTCAGCGGGCAGCGCGTATATATTTACCTCCCTCCAATCGAAGAAAATGCCTCCCGATCGATGGATCGTGTGGGCTATCGACGCCTCCGGCGCCCAAGTTCTACCCGGAACGAGAACCGGGGTCGCGCCCGTGCTTGTAACCCGACAATTTTTGTCAATAGGAGATGGAAGGAAGAAATACACAAAAAAAAATTAAAAAAATTAAAAAAAAAAACTTTAGGTCCCATAAATTTAAAACCCAACCCCACCCCTCCATGGAAAGAGACAAAAAGTAGACCATGTGACCGACAAAAAAGAAATTCCCCCCATTCTCAGCACACGTCCACATATTTGAGGAGCTGGCCTCCCCCCCCCCCCCCCCAAAGGGCCAATGATGTGATGCCTATTGCCTACCCCCTTTACACCACAATAACGGCCAAAAAAAAACAGCAAAATTTTTTTTCTCTTGAAAATAAAAGAAAAACCCAAGGCTCAAGAAACAACCCCCCCACCAATCACCAATAAATTTTAAAAAGGAAAATTGTGGGAATGGTGAATGGAATGGACGGTGGAGATCTGATCTCTCTCTCTCTGTCTCTCCATCTCTATGTCTCTCTACCTAATATGTTCTGTCAAAGTGTTGGTTGATTGAGGAGGAGGAGGAGGAGGGCAAGGCTAGGCTAGGCTGGCTTAGCATCCTCCCTCTCTGGCCATGATTGACTGCGGGTCCCACACTCACCTCTCTCTCTCTTCTGTCACCCCCCACATGCATGCTCTCCCTCTCCCTCTCTCTCCCTCTCTCTCTCTCTCTCTAGTGTTTTTATTCCCTCCCCACAAGCTCCACCGTCACCCGCGGCGACACCGAACCCTCCGTGCTACCCCCGCCCTCCGCTCGCCACGTGTCAAAGGTCCACCCGACCAGACCCATTGTGCCATACGCTCTGTCATCATAATCTCTCGTAAATGTAACCTCCTCCTCGTCGCCGCCGATGATATTCCCCGCGACAAAGTCGAAGTCGAAATTGAAATCGTAATCTTAAGACAATGATCGAAGGAAAACGATCGAGATCCGAAGGGTATATACCAGTGATTTGATTTCTTATATCAAACGTAGACGAGAGATTATTGCGATATTCTCAATTTTTAGTAGCGAATTATCGAATACCCGGCTAAATGAGCAAGTGATAGTATCGATTATAAAGTAAAATTGTGGAGTAAAATCATCTTCGCCGGGTAATCTGCCCGAGCCGTTGAAATGTCATTAAACGGCATTACGAACAAATTTCGGTTGATAATTTCATTTTCTTGATTCGCAGTAAATTCCGTTCAGGTTGGTGTTGTTATAAATTAGGGGGAATTATCCTCCTTATTCTTTGTAATATGGTCCGGAGAGATTAATGGAAAGAAACTAATGTAAAATGGAGTGAGAAACATTAATCATTTTTTTTAAAAATGTCGTCATTACAGCTAATCAACTTCGACCAAGATGAGGCAAAAACAGAGTACTCTGTTTTCCTTTTCCTATTCTTCCCGCCGCACGGTAAAAATTCTCACCTCACCGCTCGCAGAACACACACACTCTCTCTCTCTCATCACGCTCTCTTACTTCCCCAATTGGAGGGCCGTTTTCCACAGATCTGTCGGCGAGAGACGTTATTAATCATGCTCGAGCCAGCCAGAAGGATGAGGGCAATTAGTGATAATTAATGGTAATTAGTGTGGCTTGCCAGAATTATGAGAATATTTGATCTTGACCCCTTATTCTCTTTCGCACTTGACGAGCTTGATTTGCACGGGAAAGCTGTCATTGTCTTCGTGCAGACTCATTGCGGAATTGATTTATGTCCCATTTATATGCCATTAATGCAATTGATACACATACAAACACCAACAGCTCCCCTGTTTCTTGTCTCTCCTGGGGTGATTCTTGAATTCTCCTCCTCCTCCTCCTCCTCCTCTTCCTTTTTTGTTTCGGCTCTGTTGCTGCAAGTTGTCTGTCTGCATCGGCTCCTCTTGTTATTGGTTCTTTGTGTTGCAGAGAGGCTTTCTTGACTGAGGAAGATGCTAGTAAGTACGTTTTTTTCTTTTTTTCTTTCTGGGATTTGTCCAAGTTCCACTCTTTCTTGTTGCGAGCATCGAACCAACTTCTCGACTCTGTTTCTGTGTGATTCTCGGTTCCCTTGAACTGTGCACAGCTTGGTTGCCTTACTTAGTCTTGTGGGTTCTTGCCAAAGTTCGTCCTTGTTTGAAAGATGGCAATTCGATGGGCTTCTAGTTGTACCTGTGGTCGTTTGTTCTTTGCTTTAATAATGTTCTTCTCCTTCTTTGGCGGTGGTGATATTGATAACTGGTCGGAGGTTTAATCAACTAGTGCTCTTTCACTTTGTTCTTGCTCTCTGAGGTGGTTTGTCTACTTGTTCTCAAGTTTGGATCTTTTCCTTATCTGGTGTTCTGGCTGGGCTGGTTGACGTTACCTGCATTGGATTCTACAGCTTTTCACCTTTCTTGGGACTTTTTCTTGTATCTGTCCTGTACAACGATTTTGCTGCTTGTTCGCTGAATATTAATGGTGTCATACAGTGGAAGTTGCTGATGTACTCTAAAACCATGTTTCTATCCTGCTTAGAATTCATCATAAATTTAGAGGGCTGATAGAGTTTGCAATCACCACCCTTTGGATTCATTCACATCGGTGGATATGGCTTGCTGAATCAGATGCTTGTGTATGTGTGGAACAATGAGTTGTATCCATTCGTTAAAAATGTTTCTGACAAAATACTCAGTTTAATTTCCCGTGAATCCGTTGTGCCTTTCTAGGGAGCATTGCTCTTGCTTCTGGCACTGAGCAATGCCGTGAATACAAGAGGAGGAGACAGTGATGGGCAATGCGAGTATAAAGTGGCATTGGATTTGGATCCAAGACCGCATAGCGTGTCCATAACCGAGTTCGGTGCTGTTGGTGATGGGAAAACTCTAAACACCGTCGCCTTCCAGAATGCCATTTTCTACCTCAAGTCCTTTGCTGACAAGGGAGGCGCTCAGCTTTATGTGCCACCAGGAAGGTGGCTCACTGGAAGTTTTAACCTCACCAGCCATCTCACTCTCTTCTTGGAAAGAGGGGCCACGGTTCTTGCATCTCAGGTAAAATTTGCTGATGCGTTGATGTTCTCACTTTGTGCGTAATGAGCAAAGCGCAATATTAATTCTTGCATAATGTATTGTCTCTCTCACGTATTCAGGACCCATCTCACTGGGATATTGTGGAACCTCTCCCATCTTATGGACGCGGGATAGAAACTCCGGGAAGAAGATACCGGAGCTTGATAAATGGGTATGGGTTGCACGATGTGGTGATAACAGGTACCCCAGATTCTTAACTTTGCCTGCTGCTATAGTTAGTTTGCACGTGCTAGTACCAAGCCTCATTTGAGCAATCCATTGATTGGTAAATACTCTAGGTGACAATGGAACCATTGATGGTCAAGGCTCGTTTTGGTGGGATTTATTCACCACTCACTCCTTGAACTACAGTCGCCCTCATCTCGTGGAATTTGTAGAGGCAAATCATGTAGTGGTGTCAAACATTACATTCTTGAATGCGCCTGCCTATAACATCCATCCAGTCTATTGCAGGTATGTTTGCGAAAGCCCTGTTATCGATATGTCACCCATCACTTTTAATTGTTAGTTGTGCATATGAAATTTATCATCATCCCTTCGGTATAATGCAGCGATGTGCACATCCAGAATGTTTCGATTACTGCTTCACCAGAATCCCCTCGCACTGTTGGCGTCGTACCAGGTTAGTGATGCAATGGTTTGTGCCAAGGAAAATGCTTAGCTGAACAATTGCTACATTCTTTAATATACCTCTGCATTATATAGTAATTTGTGTCAGATCTCATTTCTGTAATGGATTTACTCAGTGAAGGCGATGGTTATGATTGTCTAAATCTATTGCTAGAGTAACACTGGCAGCTGCTTAAGTTCTTCATTCTGTCCCAAAAGCAAGTTGGACGTGTCTTTGAAACAATTCCAAGATGCTTTTTCCTCCAATGAGAAACATTTTGTTTGGATCTCATGGAGAAGAAGAAGAAAATCCAGTTACATTGGAAAACTTGAGAATTGATGCAGCTGCTTCTGTCCTGAGAGTTTATGCAAAAGATCTAATCATGCGTTTTACATAATCTTCTTCTTTTGCACTCCTTTCCCTCTCCCTTAATCAGGGCTTATAATTCTGGCCACAGCAAACTCTTCGACTACCAAGCCCATTATATGGTTAAATCTGTTTGGTATACCCTGGTAATCAATACCAATATAAATTAACAGATGTGTTTTGTTCTTTCACGGAAAAATTCAGATTCCTCAGACAATGTATGCATAGAGGATTGCAGCATTAGCATGGGGTATGACTCCATCGCGCTCAAGAGTGGATGGGATGAGTATGGCATTTCCTACAGCAGGCCCACCTCTCATGTGTACATTAGGCGGGCCTATTTGCAGTCATACTCCGGGGCTGCGATTGCCTTTGGTAGTGAGATGTCTGGTGGGATCTCCAATGTCTATGTGAATCATGTCAGCATACACAGTTCATCAAGTGGCGTAGAATTCCGAACAACACGGGGCCGAGGCGGCTACATCGAAGACATAACCGTATCTGATGTTGACATGGATGATGTCCACATGGCATTTGGTGCAAACGGTCACTTTGGGTCTCATCCGGATGAAAATTTCGATCCAAATGCTCTCCCGGTTTTGCGCTACATTACTTTACAGAATGTGGTAGGAAGAAGCATCACAGTTGCTGGAAACTTCACGGGAATAAGCGAATCTCCATTCACTTCCATCTGTTTGTCTAATATCTCCTTATCCCTCAAGTCTGCTTCGTTAACATCTTGGATTTGTTCTGACGTTTCGGGGTCTTCTTCATCTGTGCTTCCCGAGCCATGTCCTGAGCTCGCAGGCTCGTCCTCGAATTCTTCCTTCGCTTGCGTATCTAGCGTAAATGCCATTGGTAATTCTGCAGCCTTGTGACATATTCCATAAAGGATCAATCCTACCCGGTTTTGCAGCCTCAAATTGGCGCCAGATTTTTTTTCAAGAAGACTGGACACGTTTGAAAGAAGAAACCTCTTAGTCTGCCAGTCGAATTGCATGGTCATCGATCACAGTTGTTTATTCTCAAGTTGTTTGTACAGCCTCATTTCTTCATTCATGTTGTAAGGAAATTTTTGGTAGAAGACGGGGTCACCTTAGATTGTTTTTTATTTGTACTTAGCAGTTCTCTTTCTTTCTTTCTTTCTTCTCATAATCTTTGCTTGGGGGGTGTAACTTCACTGAAAGGTTTTTTTACTTATTTGGAATGACTTCATGTGAGATGAAATCATATGTGACTATATGAAAAGTGATTCTTGATGAGGTCATGTGGAAGTGCAAGCAAGACAGTTCTCTCTTCCCTCAAATTATGCATGTCTTGCTGCAGTCGTCTTCAAATTTCTGCTCTTTTCTGCTGGGAAGCTTTCATCTTCATCTGTAATGTCATTCATCATACGGTAAAGAGGAGGTTATTCATTGCCCGAGGTTGAGGCTTGTTGAATCCAAGTGTTCTGCTGATGAAGTTTGTCATTCAAGGTCACACACAGGTATATATCTTTCTTTCAGCTAGACCATTATCGGTGGACCACGAGCACTATTTACTTAGGTGACGCATCGATTTCTGTTCTTCTAGTTCCACTCCTCTACAGAGCAGACATAGTCCTGCAATGTGTAGGATCAAGTCCCATCTCAATATTCGCACATCACCACTTGTCGTAGTCGATCTTCCACGAAATAATAGAACGGGTCATGGAGTTTACACAGAAGACAGTAGGGACGATGGTTTAACTTGCATATGAATCTTAAGCTATTAGGGTACCGATGTCTGTTTCTTTTTTTCTTTGTTGTGTTGGCAATCTTCACTGTATTAATGGCCATGCTTGTTGTCTGCTCCTTTTTCCCAGAAAGTTGTGTGGGAGTGCTTGTTTGACAGAACATTTCTTGTGGCTTGAAAATGAATAAACAGTTTCCAAAGATACAAATCTTACATACATATCAAAAGGGAAATTTCAAATGTGGACATGAAGTTTACTGCAATTAGTTTCACTCAAAGACATGCGGCGCGCCAAGTTTAGATCCGAAGCACCGCATGTGTTTATGAGATATACTACACAGACGAGCATTGAGTATCTCTATACAGACCCGTCCATATAAAAATAATGGTACAAAAAAAACAAGCTTGTGTTGTTGGTCTTACTGCAATTGCATATCTAAAAGAAATTGCCTGTCTTCATCCACTTCTATGTGGAGGTCCTCACATCCTCATCTTTATCTATAGTTGGATCAAAAAGTAAATCAATTAGTCAAGACAAGCACAAGCACAGATAGTTCTATCATAATTCAGATTTCACTGTCATTCTGTATATTAGAGATGACTTTTCATTCAAAATCTCAGAAAATGCCAGAGAGAATGTCACCCTCGGCTACTCTTATTGGTCATCAACGGGGTACATGATGAGTGCAATCACGTCAAATGCCGGAAGTGCTGTCGAGTCGATCAAATATCCCTCTAGGTCTTCACCGGATGGAGATACTAACGGAGATTCACAACTTCAATGAATCTGTGAATTGATTGTGAACAACAAAACATATACCCAAAAAAGAAAAACAAAATGAAAGCAATAAGAAATTGCAAGACGGGGACCACGGCCGGCACGCAGGACTATGAATCATAGTCTATGATGGCAGCATATCCAATTAGAAAATGCACAGTGAATATCACTTGCCATTACAGAATGCAACTCACTTACATCGGTTCACAATAAAAGGAGTCGGAATATACCCACAAGTCCTACCAAACAAGTCGAGGCGACACTTAAAAAAAACAAAACGTTTCCTCCTGCTATCACTCCCGTCACTGCCATCAGTGTGGTATTTCACGATATATCCACATATCTTGTTTGACGTGTCGCTTGAATAAGTTGCAATCACCTTCTTTTGAACGAATAAGAATCAGCTGCACCAATTTAGGAAACCGACCTCGGTCGGAACGAAGGAAATTAGAAGATGCCGAAATTTAGATGGAATCGACACTCTTCCATCGCTCCTCCAATGTGGCACACTGAGCGTCTTTGAGTGAAACTAATCGGAGCAAACGAATTCTTCAATATTTTAGAATAATTGGTTAGGGTTTATTTCTAACAACAAACGACTTTTTCAACTTAAGTTATAAACTGAATCGATTCGAAGCAAATTCCAAAATCAATTTGACCTCGGGCGTTACGACTCATCTAATCTTTACTATTTTCTATTCAAAAAATTTTGCCAGATATTATCTAGTTCCTAATTTGTACTAGAGATTGAACATCAAACTTATATTCATTTTATCGAGGAGTCCATCTGTTTTTGTAGCTTTTAGATGATAAAAGACTAATTATTCCTCTTACGTATTTACATTCTCCGAAAGACCGCCGATGAATTAAATAATTTAATTCGTTCTCGTATTATTTTAAGCATATGAATTTTTTTTATTTATCCATTTTTCCTTCTTTTTGTTCCTAAAAAGTATGAAGTTTTATGCAACGAGCGGGAAAATCTCTAGTTTCTAACTTTTTCACACCATCTAAAAACAATTTCGAAAAAAAAATCACATAAAATTTGAGTTTTTTTTTTGGGCCAGAATATAAAATTTGAGTTAGTAATTGTAATATCTGAAAAAAAAATCAATAATAAAAAAGATCAAAAAAAAGCAAACACAAATGAAAAAGGGAAAAAAGAAATTCAGTTCCTAGTTTCAAAACCCTCGCTAAAACCCTCCCAAAAGCAAGAGCTCCTCGTCTTCCTCAGCATAAACCGTCTCTGCTTCGCCGTCCCACCGCCGGCGACTCTTCCTTTGGATTCATTCAGTCCGTCTCCGGCGAGGTGGTCGGACCGTGCTTCGAACTAGGCGAGAGCAAATCGGTCGGTTTCAATCTCCTCCCTTTCCGACGGCATGAGCTCGTCAAACATCAGGGACCTCTTGACGGCGTTCAGCCCTTCGTCGGAATTCTTCGCCATCAGCTCCGGAGATGGCCGGATCAAGGTTAACCTCGCGTGCTTCCCGATTCTCTTCTTCTGTGGCAAATTTTCTACGAATTTGATAAGAAAGTATTGACTTTTACACTGTCTGATTCTGGAATGAGACACGAATTAGCAATTGTTCCCAGTTCCGATGTATGCCCGCCTTGCCTTATTACTGGCCCAATGTGTCTCAGTAAGCAACGGTTGCTTCGCTTAATTAAATGGGACCTTTTTCTTTTGTTTCGGTTTCTTTGTTTTTATAGATTTGGGATACTTTGAAAGGGCAGATTCAGACGGAGTTTGCGGACATTGCGGCGAATGATCGGACGGACGTGTTTATGAAGCCGGACAGGGGTCACCTTTCGGTCGATTACACCTGCATGAAATGGTTGGATTTGGGGAAACAGGTAGATTTGTGATTCTTATGGAAGTTGAGGGACAGTTTTGGTTCTTGTTATCTGTTGTGGGCGGTGGGCTTTCGCTATAATTTGAAGTAACTAATTTGGCATGCGGCTGTCGTGATTGCAGAGGAAAAGAAAGCATGGGGGCTCGTTGATAGTTTTAGGAACAGGCGGGGGTGATGTCCTAGCACTGGATGTAGCATCTGGTGAATTGAGATGGAGAATCAGTGACTGTCACCCTGGGTGAGTTACCTGCTATGTATTTTGGAATCTCTTGCTGGTTGTTGGCCGTGAAAGACCCTTATGCCGTGGTTTTCTAGGAAAATTGTTTCTAGAAGATTTTTTAATCTTAATTTATTGCAGTTTGTTGCTTCCACCGACTAACAGTCTTTCGACATTGTTGGTAGAGTCCATAGCAAGTGTCTGAAAGTGTAAATCAAACAACTGCATGTTAGATTAGATATCATCTTGCCAATGGAGTCCTCAGTTTTACGCTGAATTGGGATTGTCATTTTTGTCACTAACGTGGTGTATATTGGATATATCTGCCCATTGTTGGGGGTTTAAAATGAGAATGTTCGAAAACGGATTGGCATTGTCTGCTCCAGGAATTACAGCCGAAAAGCATTTTCTTGTGACTTTCAAGTAGTCGAGAACTTCCTTTTTTGGAAAATTGATAACTTGTGGAATGGTTTGGGCTTATTAGTTTTTAAGGAATTTGAGGTCTCTCATTTTGAGATTGAGACATTTCTGAAGTCTCTCACGGAGTTAGAAAACATGAAGAGGATGTCTTATCATGAACAGAAATGAGGAATTTAGGATTATCATGATTGCAACTTTTGGGAGTGATGGTGAATGGTTCATTTTTCTTCGTGAGGTTTACCCACACTCCTTTTCCATTGTGTTTTGAAGTGGTAGAGGGGATGATCATTAACTTTCTGTTGCCATTAACACTCTAGCAAGTTTCCTATATTCTCTTCTACTTCTCCTGTGCAGGGGTGTAACTGCCATCTCGTTTTCTGGGCAAGGGTCACGCGCTTACACTGGTGGTGCTGATGGGATGATTTGTGAAATTGATCCCATGACAGGAAACTCCTTAAAAAGGTTCAGAACTTCAACAAAGGCTATATCTGCCATCTCCGTTTCATCTGGTATTGTCCTTCTCTAGACTTCTTTCTTTACAGCTGTTTGGTGCTTTATGCAGATTCTGCAATGTAAGGGTAAATGAAAGTAGGAACATTTTTCTTTGGTTGTTCTATCAATTCTAATCAAACATGTAAATTATGTAAGAATGTCCCATGTGCCTAAGCAAGCTCTTCAAACCTTGCCTCCCTATGTCTGCATTACTGTTTTTGTGGAAAAGCTATGTGTTCTGACCATACCCAAGCTTTCGAGCAATCATGTGGCTACTAGATGCATGAACTTTACATTGAGCTAGATTGGGTGGTTTGTATTTGAAATAGGGTTGAGACTTGGGAGCTATTTAATGTCAAGATTAAGCCAACCGATTTAAGAAACTTGGCCAGTCCATGTGGCTCAGGTTTTCCATTTCAAAACTGTACTTCATATCTCCTAAACTTGGTTAACCTATCTATGAATAGGGGCATTAATCAATGAAACATCAGTAACCTATACTGAGTGAGGTGAGGCTGCATTTGAAGTACTTAATTAAGTTCGTGGATCGTGCTGACGCAATACAAATGTTGGGCTAGAATCGATTAAATGACTAGGCACAAGCTTTTATTTCTAATGTGTGCTTACTTGATATGTGCTAGTGAAACGAGAATTTGGAACATTAGGATTTCGCTGCTAGTCGTGACGAGGAAAAAACATTTCTAATGTGACTAGGAGAATATGTTGATGTATATTGGTTTAGTTATTGGTTATAAGGGATTTTACATGAAAAACCAGGTAGTCACCAGTCCAATTATCTACAAAAGATTTTATGAAAGAAATGGGTGGATGTGTGGCAAGAATATGTTTTGAACATGGTAACCAGATGAAACAGTGTAGACAATGACATTTTCCAAGACTCCACAAGTCTACAGTCACTTGCATGGACGAGAGGTTGAAGGAAGTGACAATAGCTGGATGCATAATGCATGCATAAGCTTAAGAGTTGACAGGGCTTTTTTCTAAATGCATGTAGACGGAAGTATGTTAGACAGTCGAACCCAAAGCTTAAGCTGATAGATGGAGTAGATCACATGAATATAAAGAGCATTTAGGATCTGTTGTCAATCGATGTGGGATAATAATTCAACATCCCTACTCGCGTGCAAGCCGGATTACGAGCGGCACAAGAAATTTTGACTACGCACATTTACATGGAATTTTGATCACGCACATTCACGAAAGGGATAGCACTGGCTCTGTTATCATGTTAGACAGTCTAACCCAAAAGCTTAAGCTGATAGGTGGAAGAGACCACATGAATATAAAGAGCATTTAGGACCCATTGTCAATCATTGTGGGATATTACTTCAACAAAATCATTCTGAGTGTATGAAATTAGACGAGCAAAATAGAAACCCAGGGTGAATCTAATGAGAATGAAATGAATAATTGATCTGAAGTTATTTAAGAAAGTGCAAAATACTAGGTAAGTCTTCCATGATTATATGGAATTGAGAGTGTGCTAGGTTGTAGCTGTTAATATTTGCTGAAACTTCCATTTTGGTGTTATGCAGATGGAAGTGTACTAGCTTCTGCATCTGCACAAGTAAAGATATATAGTTGCTCAGGTCACAAAAAGATACAGAAGTTTTCTGGCCATCCTGTAAGTCTGAGTTTTTTAATCAGTCTTTTATTTTCTGTTTTTTGCATCCCCTATGCTTCTTTTAATTTATAGTCCATTGAATTTTCTGAATTGTAGGGAGCTGTTCGCTCTATGATCTTTACTAATGATGGGAAGTACGTTCTTTCCTGTGCTGCTGGTGAAAGATACATTGCTGTTTGGCAAGTTGATGGTAGCAAAACGCACTCAGCAAGCTGTACACTGTCCATGGAGCATCCTGCAGTCTATCTTGACAGCAAATACATTGGTAACGGAGAAGAAGATCTCAAAGGCCTGTATGTTTTGGCTCTTACGGAGACTGGTGTTTGTTATTTCTGGTTTGGACAGAACACTGAGGAACTACGCGATTCGATACCTGCAAAAGTCTCTTTATCTATTGAGGACTCTTTATTGAAGAATCATCATGGTGCACCTACAATACTTGCTGCAAAATTACAAGGCATTCCAAGTCGTGCATCTGGGCACATTTTTATTTCCCATGGTCTGCTAGTCAAGCCACTCTTTCAGAAAATTTTAGTGCATTCTGGCAAAAACATGAAATTGAACAGCTCCTTAGATGGGATTCTTTTGCCCACTGGTCAATCCCTGGTTAGGGCTAAGAGAGGGCAAGATGTAAGCAATAAAGGTATGTCTTACTTGTTGCTTTTCTTTTATGTTTAATCTGGCAGTGTTAAGTCTAGTTTTAGACCTGTAACTTGTCGGATCTTTGCAATTTTTTTTTTGGCTCAATTAAGTCCTCTGGCTCTCTCTGTTTGTGGAAGCAAGTACAGACTTCTGGTGCTTTGGTTGAAAAGTAGCATGTGTATTGATTGATAAAATAGTCTACTGGCTACCTGCCCTTAGTAGCAGTTGAAGATGAAGTTCCATGACATTCTCTTGATCAAGAAGATTATAATATTTTCTCTTAACTCGATGGTTCCTTAGCAATTTCATTTATGTATGCATGATAGATCAAAATATGCCTGTTTTGAAACGAACACAATTGTTTCGGGCATCTATAAATTGCAGGGATGGATAGAGAGATTTGTGCTCCTGCTATTGTAAGTGATGGACTGGATAAATGGAAGCATAAAGTTTAGATGATTTTACAGCTGAGGTCAACATAATCGTGAGCATGACTTTAGAAAAGGATTTGTTTAATGTGAAGTTGGAAAGGTTAAGCAACACAGTGTTGAAGTTCATGGACAAATGCCAAAAGAATTAATTGGAAATGATAACCTTTATAAGCATACTTCTTCCGTTGGTAGGATTATGTCATTGTAGGATGCAAAGATCTCTGGATCAAGATGCTAACTTTATATCTGGCTCTTTTTCCGCTTTTCTTTCCTGATAATGTCATCTGTGAGTTTGTGGATCCTTGGATCATAGGATCTATGCAGGAGTTTTAACTACTTTTGCCACAAGCACCTTCCAATATACGTTAAGTAATGTGATTTTGTTGCTCTGACTTATCCATGTCCTGAACCATCCTATAATTTAAAACTAGGGGTGCCATATCTTCTGCAAATCTTTATCTGCCACATAATATTCTCACTGAGTATTTGCATGTATTTGTTGCTCCCTCTCCTATGTTCTACTCAAATCATTCACATTAATATTCTAGCTGGCATATTTTAGTTTCTTATTGTTGGTCTTTCAGTGATCATTAATTGTTACTTCCTCATAAAGCAGTGACGGCATTGGATCGAGCAAATGCTGAAGATGCCCTGCTTCCAGTTCCAACTTTTAGTGATTTGGGAGAAAGAAAGAAACCAAATCAATATTCTGGCATTGACCCTGATGAGGTAATTGCTGATATAGTCAACAGCAGGAGTCGAGCAAAATCTTTGGAGAGCGAACAAATGCATGGTACTCTTCTTCTTAAAGTATAACACTCTTGCTGTGATTTTATCTTGAGACTCTTGATTGACTAGGTTTGCCAGTACAATTCATGCATGGAGGTGTTAATATACCAGCAGATAAATAAATAATATAATTGGATGTTTCTGCCTGAAGATGGTTTACCTGGACATGTTAATTTACGGTGCTTGATTATATTATGCATCATCTGAGGAGGCTTAGTCTAAACATGTATTTACATTGAAAGTTGCTTTGTGAGAGATTTCCAAAATTCGTCATTGCAAGAGGCTTTAACTCAATTAAGTTTTGAAAATGCTTGTTTCATAACCTTGAGGAGCTTGACTTAAAGATTCAATTTAGTAAAGAGTTCACTTACTGTGGTAAGTAAGCAGGGGATTTTCTCATCTGTACAATAGAAAAAGTAATTGCTGCTAATAGATTCTTGCAAATTATAGTGCTAAAACCTACCCATGATAATTACAGTTTTGTTTTTGGTGTTAACGATATTTAGGGTTCCAATTTCAGTTATCATCAAACAAGTTTTTATTTCTTCTTTTAACACTTAAAATTGTTGACACAAAATTTAGCACTTAAGTTTTCAGTACTTATCTGAATTTCTTGCGGAAGCATATGATTCTTCATCTCCTTCTCATGTTCCGTGAATAGCCGGCAGTTTTATAAAAAAATTATTTTTTGTTTCTTAGAGAGTTGCTTTCTAAGCGATTACCTTAATAAATCTGTGTCAATACGTTGTTTTGAGAGATATGTGTGCTAGAACAGCTTGATATTCTGAAGTTTAGGGGAAAGCTTGAGAAGAATGCGGCCAAGAAAGATAAAATGCCAAAAGAAAGAAAAGGTGCAATTCAAGTTTAGAGAGAGAGCGAGAGAGAGAGCGAGAGAGAAGAGAGAGAGAGAGAGAGAGAGAATGAGGGCTATTATACTACCACTTATAACATAGCTAACTGCAGGCAGACCTTGTGTTTTATTTTTTCTCATTTGTTGGTCCATGTGCGAGCAATCTGGTATTTGTTATCTTCAGGAATAAAAGCTTTTGGAACTCTTTTGAAAAACAGTAATGCTCCGATCATCTTTTAGGCATTTTTGTCCCCTCAGCCAATACTAAAACTTTTTATATACTAGATGGTTTGTGACGCATCTTTTGTACACCATATTGTTTTTAGTAACTCCCCTTATTACTTTCAATGTCCATTTGTTCTGTTTGTCTTTTCTGCTTCCTTTCTCATGTTTCAATTTCTTCTAGTGTTTTCCATGGCTAAATATCCCTGCTTTTCAATACTTTTAATCCTCCTTGGCTTTTGGTAAATGACTTTCCGGCCTCCGGTCACTGACTTAGTATGTGTACATTTATCTTTCTTTTGGGAACGATGCTGTCTTTGTTTATGGATCAAGTTGCATGAGGAAAAATTGGGTGTCCGTATTGCCTGTAAAACTAGTTGATTTTCTTTTTAAATAGACAGATACATGTATTTATTCACTTGGAGGAAAACGGTCTCTGGAAGTTTCTTTTTTTCACCAACTTCATACTCAGAAACACTATCTTTATTAGTTTCTGAGGCTATCTGATATTCTGTTTTTTCTTTTTGGGTCAGAATATTGTGTTACTTTTTTTTTTTTTTTGGTCGAAAGAATATTGTGTTACTTGACTATGAACTGTAAACATGTCTTTGTCTATGACCAGCTATTCTGCTTTAAACAAGTGCATTGATAACTATGCTGGTAGCTGGTACTGTCACTTATTGCAGTTTCTGCAGATGATGATTTTGAAGTGGGCACGTCTACAGTATGCCTGGAGGACCAGTTAAGATCGCTAGGATTTATCAGTGGAAATGATGGTTCTTTACATAGATCGGCTCCTGATCCTGCTTTCTTGAAGGATATAAATCTCGAAGTCAATCTTTCAAATAAAAAGGTTCTTTTCTTACTTAGGGAATATAAATCTTTTTAATTGTGTTAGCCCATAATTTACATTGTTCCCGTGCTTCACTAATGTTTCCCCGCCTCATTAGATGAGGGATACTATTTTATCTATGGGAGCAAGTGATGCATACAACCTACTGAGAAAGCTTTTGGCCTTGTGGCAGTCAAGGTTCTTTCTTTGTTCTTCTTAATTTTCTTTTGCTAATATGTATGAAGCTGTTATTTGGCTGGGTTCTTCCTCAGTCTGTTTCTTTGTTTTATTCTCATAAGCATCTAGCAGTGTTTAGAGGTGGTAAAACATGCTAATAGTAATTGGATGTTATATTTTTGAACAGGTCATCTAATGCAAAGCTAGTACTTCCATGGATTAGCAGGATATTGGTCATTCACAGTGATTATGTCCTTTCTCAGGAACCAATGACTGAGCTGCTTTATTCTTTGGGCAAGGTAAAAAGTTCATTCAAGTAAAATTAGCCGATTTGTTTGTTAGTTTGTTCTCTTGTTAAGTGATTTTTGGATAGGCCCCTCAATGATTAAATGCCTTGCTAAAACCTTTTTCCTTCGCTGTTGTTGGCCAATAATACTTGTCTGCTTTTCAGTCCAAAGTTTTCATAATTTGATATGTCTCCCTTGTTCGGCCTCTAACCTTTTGCGGCCCTCTCCATACATTGACGAGTCTGCATGTTATCGTTGTGATATTATCTTGTTCTTAGTTTTGTCTTGTTCAGCCTCTATGATGAGTCTCTTGTTTCTGATTGGGAATTATCCCAAGACAAAGCCTTTTCTCCTCAGCCAAAAGGTTAATTGATCAGTTGCATGAAATGATTCCCTGAGAATATTGCAATATAAGCATCTATATGTTAGCTTCCCGAGGTAAGCAAGAGCCCAGTTCATGTTTTTCTTGATCAAAGCTAGCCTATCTCTTGTTTCTTTTTCAAGTACTTTTCTTAGAATAGGCGTTTTGTTTCTTTGAGTTTAGAATCAGTGTGGTCGAGTGTCTTTTCTATTCGAATCAGTGACTATCTCGTCAGAAAGTTATTCCACAAGTCTGAACTCAGAACCGCAAAACTGGACCCCAAAATCTGGGTTAGGATAAATTTCTACGGTTTCATGTATACATTGTTTTCTATGTACTTCTGTTGAATGCTAAATCAATGTAAGCGACGAGTGTAATTGGGGATGGATCGTTATATACATTTCTTGTGATGTCTAATATGATGAAATTATTTCCGAATCCACATGCTTCTAAGTAGAGATCTAAGAAAAAAATGGCTGGTGCTGATGCAAACTCGGTTGATAAATATCTTAAATCGCCTTTATATATGTCGATTTCCTTGAATTGTAAAAGTGGAAGGAGGGAAAGGTGTAATTAGGGCTCGAGTTCTGAGGAGTTCTGTAATCTCTGGTTCTAGGAAAAATCTTGTCAATCTTTTCTCCAGGTGTAGGTAGCATCAACAATGATATGAAAGAATCGTATTGGTTTCTTTTTTGCTTCATCTAAAATATTTTACTACTCAGACTCTGTAGAGCTTCACGTTATTTACTATTCTTGGGTTATGGTTGCCTGATGGTATGATTTATATAGTTATGTTTCCCTTGTAGACTGCAAAAGCTAGAGGGGCGGCCATCCGACCATTACTGCAGTTAGTTGGTCGGCTGCAGCTTGTTGTCACTCAGGTTTAGGCCCTTTATATCTTTGCTTTAGATAATTATTTTTGAGCTTTGACAGTCTCTAATTTTGGTAAATGTTGTCTTCCAACAGATTGACAAGGCCACACACAATCAAACTAGAGATTCTCTTCAAGAGCGTCAAGCTGATGAAAGTGATGATGAGGATGAAGACATTGATCACGTCTTTTACAGGGATGAGGATGAATCTGGACAAACTAGCGATGATACAGATGATGAGTAGAAGCTCTAAATTTTAAGAGGTGGTCATTCTTGCTGGTGTTAAATTTGATAATTCATGTTGCATCTTCATAAACTTTGGATTTTTGGGGTAATTAGTGGGTAGAATAGGTGAAGTGAATGCTGTAAGACTTTTTTCTCTGATTACATTTTCAGGAAAAAGTCTTTTCTTCCACCGCGAGAAGTGAGTTCCATGAAGCATCTTGTATACAGACTATTTTGCTGTTTCGGTTAAGAACCGGTGAAACACGAACAGCTTTAGGTTATATACGCAATTTACTGGAAGTTTTACTGCTGATCGTGATCGAGAGTTTCCATGTGCTAATTATGGCTTTTAATTTTTCATGCTCATTACAAGTAGCTTTGTTCTTCTAAACATCAATTTGAGTTGGGTGTTTTTGCTGCTTGTAGTGTGAAACTTGCTCAAGATGGAGATACTCTCTTGGGGCAAGTCACTGGTCAAGTTGCAGCTGCACCTGGAGACTATCATACATATGCTGCCAATTTTGTTCCCTCCACAATTTTCCGATCCCGACCGCGTGTGCTGGTCTCAGGCAATTACCATGACGACAAAGACCACCACAGGCTGGCCGTTGCGGTAGTGGTCGTCGCCCTACAGTGTATTATGGCATCTCTGTTTATACTTTTCTAAAATTTGTTTTCTTACTTAGTCAATCACATCCCCCATCTATCAAACACTCTATAGACTGTTTATATGTATCTGTCCTTGTATCCGGTGTTTTCTCAAACAAAGAATATCACGTAAAAAATCCGAAGGACTTCTTGTTTGATCCTAACGTATCTTTCGACTTTAGTTCTTAGTGACCAAATGGAGCATAAAGTAGAACATTACATTTTACCCTCGATGAATCGATAGGGTACATGTCACATTCTTTGGCTATAATTCCAAAATCTGAGATCCGTAAACTTTAGATGACCATCATACTGAACTGGGATGCTTTAGATGTCCTCATTTGCATTGCACTGCACGGCAACCTGAAAGCTGTTTTGGCATTTGCTGTATGCTAGATATAAATTAAGGTTCTAAACCTAGTTATGCAGAGTAAACTGAAGCCAAGAGGTCGCCGTTGAGACATTTGATAACATTAAAATGATTTGTCATTTGATCGAATAGCCTTCCGTTAGATAGATAACTCTCGAATGGAGTATTAGAACGGAAAAATCCATTAGATAATTAACTATTGGTCCTAAGCCATATTTGGCGATGAATCAACAATTCAAAATGCTTTTTTTGCGTATTCTTGATAAACCGGCGATTCTATATAGGGTTAATACTACGAAAAATCATAAACTGGTACACTTGTGATAATTTTACCCCAAACTATTTTTTTGACCATAAAAAACTCCAAACTGATACACTTGTGACAAATCTACCCTGAACTATTTTTTTGACCACCAAAAACCCCAAATTGGTATAACAATTTTACCCCGAACTAATTTTTTAATATTATTTTTTATTTTTCGAATTTTTATTTATTTATTTTTTCTTTTTTCTTTACTTTTTTTTTCCTTTCACTTCAACCTTTGGCCGGTCGCCGGACCGACGACCGGCCAGAGGCGGAAGCCGGCGAGGTCGACCACTGGCGAGGCTCGACCTCGCCGGCGTTGGGCGAGGTCGGCCTCACCTTGCAACATCGAGGTCGAGCCTCGCCCGGATCTAGCGGGGCCCGGCCCCCGCCGGGCTGCCGGGCGAGGCACGACCTCGCCGGCGTTGGGCGAGGGTCGGCCTTGCCACCGCAACGGCGAGGTCGGCTCGCCCTAACGCCGGCGAGGTCGAGCCTCACTGGTAGCCCGGCCGGGCCACCGGCCCTCGTCGGATCCGGCGAGGCTCGACCTCGCCGTTGTAGGCAAGGTCGGCCTCGTCGGCGTTGGCGAGGTCGGCCTCGCCACGTGAACGGCGAGGTCAAGCCTCGCCAAATCTGGGCGAGGGCTCGGCCGCCGGTGCAAGGCGAGGTCACCTCGCTGCGTTGGCGAGGTCGGCCTCGCCACCCAGCGGGCCGAGCCCTCGCCGCCTCGCCCTAACGCCGGCGAGGTCGGCCTCGCCCAATGCGGCGGGCCGACCTCGCCACCCCACCTGAGCCGGTCGCCGGACCGGGCCGGCCGCAGGTTGGAAGAGAAAGGACAAAAAAAAGTAAAGAAAAAATAAAAAAAAAATTCGAAAAATAAAAAATAATATTAAAAAATTAGTTCGGGGTAAAATTATCACATGTATACCAGTTTGGAGTTTTTGGTGGTCAAAACAATAGTTCGGGGTAGATTTGTCACAAGTGTACCAGTTTGGGATTTTTTATGGTAAAAAAAATAATTTAGGGTAAAATTATCACAAATGTATCAATTTAGGGTTTTTCGTGGTATTAAACCTTCTATATAAGATGTAGGAGGATCTTTTTGGAAAGTAAGAAGCACCTTTGCGTCTCTTCATTTACAAAGAATTCTCGACGTGACAACACAGAGCCAATTGGCTGATCTTTGAATAGAAAAAAGAGTGATTATGTAGGGTCCCAAATAAATCGACTTATTCGAAAAAGAAAACATGGAACATGGAACATGACAGATCGAATACTAAGTTCGCTCCCCAGTAATAACCGCGGTTTGTTCGGATAAGAGAATCAACGAAAGGCGAGGAGTTCAAAAGGAGAAACGAAAACGGTTGATTGAATCCGAATAGAAATTTTGCTGCAACTGAAAAGGGGGGTATTCCGGAAACAAAGGCAGCAGTGAAGAAAAGATGCTCTGAATAGAGGCGAAGTACATAGTAGCTGATATATATATATATATATATATATATATATATATATATATATATATATATATATATATATATATAGACATTGAGGAAAAGCGGATAAAGTGAATTCTATGATCACCCTGGTTCGAAAGTCATAGAGGAAAAGCCCCAACCTAACTTAGAACTGGACAAGAAAATATTCGATGCAACAGAGATGCCTTCGTGGAATAATCCAGGTCCATTCTTTTTTTTTTTTTATCTCTAAATTAAAGACCATGCGATCGCATCCCAAATGATACATAGTTGGGTTCAAAGATTATCTACTAGTAGGAATTGCATATGCCGTGGGAGAAGACCATCAAAGGAGGATATCTAATGCGCGTCTCGCCCGTTCGATCTCGTGTAAGAAAAGGGCAAGCGGTGAAGATCAAGAACAGAATAGCAACCGAGAATTAAAGTGGAATTAGGTGAGGGGGGCATAAGTAAAAGAAGGCACCGCATATAGCCCCGGCTTTGCGCCCGTTTCTTACCCAAGAAAATAAAGGGAAAAGGAGAGTGGAAAAAGTGGAGGCTTTCGGGGGACAACAGTGGATGCCAAAAATTCTTTGGCATCTCCTCTTGCTTTCATAGGCGAAGCCCTTCGATCATAATCATGGCTTGCTTGACACGGCCTTTTCGCAATAGTTTCGCCTGTGAGGAAGAACGTTCCGTTAAATTTTACTGTTAAATTATTTTGTTAAATGACACGCGGCAATTAACGGATATACTAATTTTGAGTTTTATGTACCAGTTTGATATTTTTCGAGGTATTAATCCAATTTAAAGGAAACTAACAAAGAGTAAAATTTGTTATAAATATACCAGTTTGAGGTTTTTGATTATCAAAAAATTAGTTCAGAGTAAATTTATCACGAGTATACTAGTTTGGGGTTTTTTGTGATCAAAAAATTAATTTGAGGTAAATTTATCATAAATGTACTGATTCGGAATTTTTTCGTGATATTAATTTAAAAAGAAATTGTACTATCGTGCTCAATGATAATGTACCCAGGAACAGATAGGGTGGCTATTTCTCGTAGACTATTATCATCCCCATTAATTAAAAAAAGAAAAAGAAAAAAAGGAGGAAGTCATCAGCCCGTCGCCCTCGACGATGGTGCATGCGCACGTGAGCTTTCCTTTGCCCAGCTCGTTAACCGGGTGCTTTCAAATTGGGGACACTCGATCGAGCACAACATCGTTTTATTTTAACCGCCTAGCTCCATTGACCACAATCAACGCCCAAACGTTGGTCTTATCGAAACTATCGATGAATGTCCCGACACCATATTCTAATGCGACGTGAATTGAAACGAGAGAAGCAAGTGAAATTAGGATGCGCGCGAGCACTCGCATTCACCAATGGTGCTGGGACCAAAGGTGGGAATATATCTCCGACAATTTTCATAATTTTTTTTTTAATAAAAAAACTGATTTCTTCCTTTATTTTATTCCTCTCTTTTTTTTTTCTTTTTCTTTCTGTATTGTCTTTTTCCTTCTAAGTCCAGCAAAGGTCGCCGGCCGACGCTCGCCGACCACAGGATCGCTGCCTTCCGACAGATTGACAGTCTCTAATTTTGGTGAATGTTGTCTTCCAACAGATTGACAGGGCCACACACACGATCGAGCTAGAGATTCCCTTAATGAACGCCAAGCTGATGAAAGTGATGATGATGAGGACGACGGCATTGATCACGTCTTTTACGGGGATGAGGATGAATCTGGACAAACTAGCGATGATAAAGATGATGAGTAGTAGTAGTAGCTCTCTCTTTTTAAGTTGTAGTCATTCTTGCTGGTGTTACATTTGATTTGTCATGTTGTATCTTCATAAACTTTGGGTTTGTTTTTGCTGCTCGTAGTGTGAAAATTGCTCAAGATGGAGATGCTTGCTCGGGGCAAATATCCGGTCAGGTCGCAGCTGCCAATTTATACTTTCCTGAAAATTGTTTCTTTAATGATAAAAATCATCTCTATAGGCTTTTATCTGTATCTGTTGTGGTCGAAAACACTGCCAGACACTCTCATTAAGAAGAAGTCCGAGGGTACAAGCCATTAGCTTCAGAACAAAGCAACTCCAAAGGGCTAAGAGGGGCATAAGAGACTTGTTGCAGCAGTGGGCTTTGACGACCCGATCCGCAAGCTTGTTACAATCTCTATTGCAATGAGCTAACTTCAGGCAAAGGAAATTCCTCAAGCGGGCTTGGGCTTCGGTGGTGATAAGAGCCACGACTTTCCAGCTTTACTCGAGCTGCAGCACCGGTTATCTCACTCACCAGATCAAACTGATCTGTTTCCCATCTCCAACGCCGATTCGGTTCTTCCTTGAAGTACTTTGGGGTTTCTACGATGGCAGTCGCTTCCGCTTGAATCGCCGAGTTCACTCTCACCGTTCGGGCGAAGATGTCGATCAGGAAACCATGGCTGTCACGGCACACACAGGCTATCGCCCCTTCCCCCGTTTCTTGTACGAAGGACCCATCCACGTTTATCTTGAGCACGTCGGGGGGCGGAGGCTTCCACGAGTGAGGTGAGTCCATTTCTCTGCTTTAGCTTACCTTGTGTTACGTTTACCCACCTTCTGATGCTTTGATTTCTCGACCAAAGAATATGTGATATAAAAAATCCGCAGGACTTCTTGTTCACTCTTAACGTATCCTTTTCCACTTTATTTCTTAGCGACCAAACGCAGCATAAGAGTAGAACATTACGTGTTACCCTCGACAAAATCGACAGAGTACATGTCACATTCTTTAGCTATAATTCCAAAATCTGAGATCCGGAAACTGTAGATGACCATCTCACCTAGAAGCCGTTTTGACATCTTGACATCATCTGCTGTATACTTTGATATAATATCTAAGGTTCTAAACCAAGTTATTATGTAAAGTGAACTCAGCTAAAGCCAAGAGGTCGCTTCTGAGACATTTGACAACATTAAAATGATATGGTTTTACACAGAAAACATGAAATATCTAATTCTAAGTTCTTCAATAATAACCCCAGTTTGTTCGGGTAAGAGAAAAAACGAAAGTTGAGACGTTCAAAAGGAGAAACGAAAATGGTTGCTGCATTCAATTTTTAATTATTGTAGTGTTCCCGGTTGATCATATTTTCAATTTTGCAGTGCTTCAATACGTCTCGATCTAGATGAAGTACAAATCTCCTGATCTGTGGACTCACCAAATGATACAGATATAAGTTGTTGATCTGCACATAGTGTCGATATGATCGCAAATAATCAAGTCAGCGTCGAGGAACATGTGCTGGGGAGTATGTGATGCGGTTGCTCATTTCTTGCTTATCTAAAGTTCCAATTGGCCAAGCTCAAGAATTCAAATCCGATTTCAAAGAACTTGGTTTTCATTAAGTCCGGCGAGCTGCAAATGCGGCGGATCGAAATTTTATTGGTTGAAATCACAAACAAAGTAAAGAAGATATGATAGCTCTTCTTAAGAGCAAGAGCTTTTGCGTCACACTCAAAACACATTATTGTGTGTAAACCTAAATCATAGCGAAGAATTACAAACAATATTCTTTATGAGGAGGGCGTTGGAACACGTCCTATGCATAGGCCTGTGCGTTCTCTGAGAGGTACGACTCCACGACCTTGAATATGGCCATGGCCTTTTCCTTCCCAGCCTTGATCTCCTCTTCTTCCACTTGAAATGCCTCCTTGGTGTTGTACTTGCTCGTCATCCTGCAAACCGACCCTCCGTCGCTGGCGGCCTCGAACTTGACCTCGTAATCGATCGACTCGAGCTTGTCGCCCAGCGCGTCGCCCTCGATCATCGTGTACCTACACACAAAGTTCTCCTTGTCGAGCTCGTCAATCCGGTGCCTCACATACTTGAAATGACTAGCTGCATTTGTTACCGAACAAGAAATAAATTCACTAAACTCGTTACTAGAGGGGAGGATCCAAAAATATGGTGTATGAGAGTGTACGTACCTTCGGTGAAATTAACTTGCTCGATGCTCCCGGCTCCTCCGTCGCCTTGTACGAGCTCCACGCTCTTTATGAACTGAGGCAGGAGCTTCGGGATCAGGGCATTCGACTCGACGATCAAGGCCTTGAACATGCGAGCCGGAGCGATCGGACACGTGAGCTCCTGCGTGATGCTGGTGGCACCCATGGCTAAAGAAATAACCCCAGAGAAGTGATATGCTTCTGAGTTCCCGTTGGTGCCTCCTATTTATGGTTAGAATTATGTGAATAGGTAGGGTTGGTTTGGCAAGATTCACGTTTGGGGAAATAGAAGAGTCAAGGATTTGCAGCACAAAAGGAATGTAAAGAGTAATTAAGGTGGGTCTCTTTTGTTCTTTTGGTCAAGAAAATGACTTTGGTCCCTTTCAGATTCTAAGTTGAAATGTCAAAGATTATGTACCAAAAGATAAACACAAGGAGAGCACATTCTCATGCCCACATGGGCGGCCATCACTTGAATTGATTGAGTTTGATCTAACACCGGTTTGGCCTGACTACGTGACGTGCCGATCTCATATTATAACAAAATGCCCTAGTTTGAAGAAAAGGGCATTCATCGAATTTCGTTTAATACGTAGTAAACAAGAACACTTAATTGGTCGGTAATATCACATCGGTATGTTACAAGATATAAGCATCATGTAATATATCTCTTCGCACGCAACGCTCTGATGTCACGGTAGATCTGTTCCAATGCATCGAGTAAGGCCTTTCGAAATCATTTTCATGATAAAAAAACATCTCGTTAAGGTTGATTCAAACTTCACTAAAACCGGCGGTTTCACTGGGTCGAAATCGGGTCGGCGATGGGTGTCCCTCAGCCCATCATCTTAAGTGGGAGGTGGGGCTGCCGCCTTTCCGTTGTACCGTGCTTCTCTTTTTCTTTATTTATTATTATTGTTGTTGTTGAATCATTTGATCTCTAATCCAACGTCCCTATCGCTATCAAGAGATAAGATAGGATTAGCATCAGCTTAAACAGAGTATTTTAAAGCCCAAGTGTTACAATAAGATCAAGTCCAAACCCCAAACACACTCAACTATGTATTTTCGACAGCTTTCTTCGCATATTATAAGAATATACTTTTCGTTAATGATCTTACGTATTGCGGTTTATGAAAGATTGTGCCACATTGATAGCTTCGGATGTTAGTCCAAATTTGAAATATCGGGCCTAAGTTCGAGATTTTATTGGCCAATTGGCCTTTCATTTGTTACTTAAGAATTCTCTGGTTGTGTGAAAAGTTGTGTGAAAATTACTGAAATTAGATAATCCCACTATGCCAACATTTGTTATTCACCATTCTTTTTCCCTTGACTCGCTAAATATGTGGCACAACTTACAAAGTTTCACTCCTCAAGAAAACCTCTGCACCATGATCCTGCCACAACATTTCATTCTCTTATTCACAGCAAAGACAAGAACAGCAGCACTCACCAGCCCAACATTCTTAGACTCCAAACACAGAGAGACTCAACTCTTCTTCCCTCATTTACCACAACCAGACATATTTAACACAGTACATGAACGATACAAGGTGGTGATGAGATTGACTCAGTAGGCATCAGGGTTTGCCACGAGGTAATCCTCGATGGCCTTGAACATCGCGGACGCCTTCTCTTTCCCGGCCTTGATCTTCTCCTCGGTGATGTCCACCTCGCCGATGGTGAAGTACTTGCTCGTGTTCTTGCACACCGAGCCACCCTCGGGTGACGCGGTGATCTTCGTCTCGTAGCTGATCTTCTCGAAGGTGGTGCCCAGCGCATCGCCCTCGATGATCGAGTAGCAGTAGACGAAGTTCTCCTTGTCCACGACCTCGACCTTGTGCTTCACTGTCTTGTACTGACTGCCTATGGAATAAGTAACATTCACATTTAGAACTCTGCCAGTTTGGACATCGCGAGCACTGATCTTGATGGTGTCGATCGGGCCATTTAGGAATTAACCCAATTGTTCCTACCGCAATCCAATACGATTGACTTAGACATGGCCTAATTTCGCTGATCGAAATCGAGTCGGGTGATCACTTGTGTAAAGTTAATGGTTAGAAACATCTTAATTAACCGAGTTATATTCCTATCTTTTTCCATGTTCATTATAATGTTCCATAAGGTTGAAACCATCCTTGGTTCAGAGCGATCCTAACATGGACAGACTAACCTTCGCCAAAAGTGATCAACTTGATGGTCCCGGGGCCTCCGTCGCCCTCGAGGACTTCGACGCTCTTGATGGCCTGCGGGAGGACCTTGGGGATGAGGTTATCGGCGTCGAGGACGGCGGCCTTGAACATCTTGGCCGGAGGGATCGAGGACGTGATCTCGGAGTCGTAAGTGATGACACCCATGATCGGATCCGAATCGAGCTGCTGAAACTGAGAAGGGAGGTGATCAGGAAAGACCGAGTAGTAGTGATGAAGTTGGTCTCTAGGACTTGGGAGTGAAGAGAAGAGGCTGAACTGAAGCTGACATATATAGAGAGAGACTAAGTCTGGAGGGTTCTGATCACTGGAAATTTTCTTCTCCCAGAACAAAAAGACAACCTCAATCAGTCGGTGCGGTGGGCTGTTCCAATCATGACATGGACTCTGTTCATAAAAATAAAAATATCTATATGATAATAGAATGTTAGTCCAAGAAGGCACCTTCCGAGAATGATACCAAAGGTTATTCCATTTCCCTTTCTTGTATTGACTTAGACTTCTTCTATCCAGGAGCATTTGCTGAGCAAATTCCTGGTTTAGCTTTTCACTGATTTCTTACATAGTCTTTATCATAGTAGAAAATCTCAAGCCCTTAGATGCATATGGTCGCGACCCACTAAGATTCCGTCCCACGCCGTCTCGATTCGTTCGTGAAAGTAGCGAAATTGAAGGTCGGCAAAGGCCTCGGGAAGAGTTATCATCGATTTTGTACTCTTGAAAAATCAAGGCACTCTTTTTTCAAATTGGGTGGGACTTGGGTACTGCATGTTTGTATTGAGCTTCCATCAATAAGAAAAAGTACTAATTGTTCTCAATGTTGTGCTAATGTAGTTTAGCAGAAAAAGATAGGAGGGGTAGTTTGGTACAAAAAAATATATGAGTGGGTTTTAAAGTTTCATACATTTGGTCAACAACGGCAGCTCAGAAAGTCAAAGATGGACGTCTATAGATTTTGATTTTTCCTATTGCTTTCACATGCCCTGTCCTTTTTGAATGATATTATTGCAAATCATTTTCTGCAAAATTATATTGGCGAAGGTGTTGGTGGATCAAGTGGCATTGGCTCACGGGTACCTCGCTACTTGAGCATTTTTTAATGATTCCTTTGCCCTAATTCTTCTTGTCTAGATTACAAACCATGTGAAGACATAGGAAAATGATCATGGTGTTGATCAAATTAATTAATGTATTTCGTCGATATCGTTTAAAATTTTTATTCATCTCATCAAGATTGTGTACCGTATTCTCTTGTTTTTTTCAATTGACGAAGGATTCAGAGCGCGTAATAGCCGCATATGTTTTTGGAGAAAAGCATCGGAGAAGGACACAAACGCATTGAACAGTACTATATGTACTAAATTAATCTAAATCGCTAAATTTGATGGGATTCACATGAGACTTATATGGAACTCAACGGAATTGAAAGTCCTGATTCCGCTTAACAGAAGCTTGATCATTTCCGAGTCTTCGTCAAATGCCTTTTTCTCGTCTCTTTGAATCTTCCAATCGCATGCCCACTCCGTTACATGTGAGTGGTGATTGATTTCCCACGCCTAAGTCTTTGCTTAAATCCCATGACTTAGGAATATGAATGAAGGAACAATTGCGCGTCAAATACAGTACATTCACATGTGAAAGAGTTCACCATCCCTTCCTTAGTCAAAGTAGCGCATTCATATTAATAATCTCGCAGCAGTTTCGATTCTGAAAAATAAAATGCCGCGATTTTTATAAGATGTTTGGCGAGTATCTTTAATTACAACATGCAGAATATTTACGGCTTCGATAGTCGTCTCGCCCGCTTTAAGGCGGCACATGTATTACCGAACATAAAAATTAAAACACTTCACATCCCGATTGTTATTTTTCTTGAAAAGACACGAGAATGCAACCATAAACCACGGTGGGAGATGGAAACTTTGAGCCAAACATGCAATGATAGCTCAAATGGAAGCGTTAGGGTTTTGCAAGGGATGGGCTTCAATGGCCTTGAACATTCCTATGGCCCTCTCTCTGCCAGCCTTGATCTGCTCCTGCGTGATCTCGACCCCGTTCCGTCGCGTAGTACTTGCTCTTGCTCTTGCACACGCACCCGCTGTCCGGACCCGCCTCGAAGTTGATCTCATCCGAGATCTTCTCGAGCTCCTTCATCAGCGCGTCGCCCTCGACGATGGTGTACGCGTACTTGAGCTTCTCCTTGCCCAGCTCGTCGACCCGGTGCTTCACCGAGTTGAACTGTCTAGCTGCAACAGAGAGAGAATAAAATTTGCTTATGAGTCCAAATGAGTACACTCAATCAAACATGACATTGTTCTATTAGAACCTCCTAGCTCCATAAACCGCAATCAACTCCCAAACGTTAGTCTTATCAAAACTGTCTGCGAATGTTTTGACATAACATGCTAATGCGAAGCGATTAAAATGAGCGAAGCGGGCAAATTTAGAAGACCCGCTAGCACTCGCCTTCAACGGCGGTGCTGGGATCGCCATCGCCTTCCACACCACAACAACATCCTTAATGGTTTGAGGGAGGAGGACAGGGATGAGAGTGTCGTCAAGAACAAAGGCCTTGAACATTCTTGCAGGTGGGACTTGAAGCTCCATCCCAAAAGTGACAACGCCCATGATTCCTCTTTAATAGAGAAGGGGGGACAAAGACATGGATCTTATGCCCAATTGATACCAGTAGCATGTGGATGATCTCTGAAATTCGACACTCTTGCAGAGATTATTAACATTTCTGAGACACCGACCTCATTTCGTAGAATCGGTTAAATGATCAAAGACAAAAAAATCCGTAAGTATAATTTATAAGCACGGTAAAAATTCGGTTCTCCGGATCAATAAGTATAAACGACCACATGGCTGGTGGAAAAAGATTTCGCACAAGCACTAAAAGTGGAGTTTTCAAGGACCCTCAATCACGGGAGTATATTTCACCGTTTCATCGAATATATTGAAAGTGTTAGAAAATAAGAGCCAAAAGCTCTCGTAGCTCAGTTGGTTAGAGCACCCGTTTAGTAAGCGGGAGGTCTTGAGTTCGACTCTCAACGAGAGCATTTCAATTTTGTCTTATGACTTATAATCTTTCTTTTTTCTGCATTCAAACTTCTATGTGCCATATTGAAATCCTTCATTTCCGTTAAATTGGATTAATACCACGAAAAACTCCAAACCGGTATACCTATCAACTGTCACGTGTCATCCAACTTAGCAATTTGACGTTAAAATTTAACGGAAACTAACAAAAGGTAAATTTGTCACAGATATACCGGTTTTGGGGTTGTTAATAGTGAAAAAATTAGTTTAGAGTAAATTTATCACAAATACATTAGTTTGGAGTTTTTTTGTGGTATTAACCTTTCTTTTTTCTACGGTCAAACTTCTTCGTAACATATTATGACTTATTCGACCAAAAAAAAACATATTATGACTTATAATCTTTCTTTTTTCTGCATTCAAACTTCTTCACAACACATTGAAATCTTCCGTGGCAAAACGATTTCTGTTTTTTTGGGCCAACCCTTTTCTTTTTTTGATTTCGCTTCACTTTTTTAGATTGAGGCTAGGATCCGTAGCTTGTTCGGCCCGCGAAGCGTGATTCATCTACACGACGAAAACCTCTATCGGGGCTTCAAGTTGGGCTAGGCCCATGCATTCTCCTGTCACACACACACACACAAGAACCTCTCTCTCTCTCTCTCTCTCTCTCTCTTTCTCATTTTTCGGCCCTTCGCAGGGGGTCATCAAATGACCAAAACCAGGACAGAGAACACAGAGCGATGGATGTTGACAAAAGCAAATTCAATCTTTCTGCCTGTGCCCACTAAATGCAGTCACACGTTAAGCGAGAGGCCTCCTCCCCCTCCCCCCTCTCTCGGTTTCGATCCCATCCGTCCACTTACCAATTCTCTCAGTACATGTTCAGAGTGGTCCAACACCGACAGAGACGCAGAGAGACAGAGAGAGAGTTGTGTGGATCGTGATAAATTCCCACATTTAAAACCATCATCCCCCCCTTCCGAATGGCTCCCGTCGCGCGTGACGGGAGCCGACGCCCGGGTCGCCACCGTCGGGGCGAAGCGCTTCGACGGCTGCCCGCCTCGTGATCCGGGGTCCTAGGAGCTCGCGCGTGCGTCGGGAAATGATTATCGCACTCTTAGTCCCGAATAGGAATCAGGGGTCATTCCTAAGTAAAATGCGGGCATGCCTTGTACATATGGAATTCTGCCATGTCCTATTTTAGATGGGTGTTGGGCCAGACAAGAGGAAATGATTTTTGACTTTGTCATGTTCTGCGAAATACTGACCCAAATTCGAATTTTCTTTTTTGGCAGAATCCCCCCCCCCCCCCCCAAGAAAAAGAAAAAAAAAAAGCCAAATTGTACCCATCGTGCTCAATGATACGTACCCCCAAGAACAGATGGGGGTGGCTATTTGACAGCTCGATCTCGTAGACTATTTTGTCATCCCCAATAATTAAAGAGGAGCAAAGAAAAGAGAGGAAATCTTGTCAAGTGATCTGTAAAACTGCTGGTTTGCCGTGTGTGCTGATGAGACCTTCGGGGATGTGATTGATTGAACTCTCTGCAAAACAGTGCGAACATCTCTTAGTCTTTTTGGTCTGCCCTTTCTTTCCATGGGGCAAGTTCCCAAGTCTCAAAGGCACCGACATGACTTTAGGGAGAGACGCAAACCTAAGATGCTTCTTTCAACAGAGCAGCCATGGTGGTGATCGGTGATGAAATTGCTTGGTTGAGTTTCAAGAAAGAAAGAATCGAGCTAAGAGTTAGATGATTGGGTTAAAAGATCTTGGTTAAAGATGGTTTTGGATTTGAATGATTATATCGTATCGAGGGCGATGTTTCTCTATAACTAAGTCCGTCATTTCTTAACGCTTTTCATCCTAATCAAAATTAGGTGAGTATCAAACGCTGCAATGTTGAAGTAACCCATATTATAATGTGGCCTGAAATTGACTTCTTATAACAGTAAAATAAATTAAATAGAGAAAGAACAATCGGAACTACCTGCACGACGCTAGAGACGATCGGTTCCTATCCTCAGATGGGAAATCGAACCGAACAGGGTCGATTCCCGATGACCCACCTTGGAACTAGAAACCGACCCGGACAGGAGTGATTCCCATTTCGTGGAACCGAGAATCGATCGTGTTCGCTCAAGGACCAGTACCATTCCAGTTCTCGGGCCAAGAGCGAGTGCTTGTTTTTCTTTTATGGTTTCCGCTACACAAAATAAATTGAGAACATTGTCTTTAATCGCCAATTCCGTCGGTTTGGTCCAGTTGATACGGTTCCCCCTCAATAATTGAGAACCCGATCGAATTCTTATGAGAGCCACCTGATATCGGCTGGTCCAATCCAATTCCCAATAGGACCGGGATCGGTGCGCACCCCATACACCGCACACGAACTCTCTTCGGCTCTCTCGACATGTCCATCAATTTCATCATCGAGAGAGAGAGATTCAATCATTTATTTCATTCTCACATCAATAATTTTTTATTTTTTTTTGGGTCAGAATTCTCGCATCAATAATTTAGAAGCGGCAAAATTTCGCCCTTCAATCCGCGTTCATCGGACGAAGAGCGACGGGAGGAAAAGAGGTGAGATGTCGGGTGGGGAGGGGCGGGAGCATTTACCACCCGCCACGTGCCGATCTTCGTGTTGCTTCCCCCCCCCCCCCCCCCTTCTCTTTCGCGTCCTTTTGTCCAAGAGCTTTGAACTTCGTACTCGTACTCCCCCCCAAAAAAAATGGTTAAAAAAGGATGGAGAAAGCAACCTTCCTCCCCACCCCTAGTCTCCTTGATTCGTGACCCATCACCTAACCTAACCCAAAAAAAGCTTATAGAAATGATGCTTATGTACATAACGCTCGCACCCTCTCTTTTCTTGGCCATATTCCACATTTGTTTTGAACATGTGTGCATGTATGTATGTACACGCGCGCGCGCGTTCGTTTCGACGTCACCGGGGCATACCCTTTAGAATATATTTGCAAACTTTGTCGCACGTTTCGGTACGATTGGGGGACATGACGCCCGTCAGCGGTCATTTCGACGTCACACGGGCGACTTCCGATTCGGCTCTGCTCGTCGTCGTCCGTCGTTCTCGGGAGAAGACGAGACGGATTTCTCGGACGGCGGCACGGGGGTTGCAAAGCCCCGGAAAGGAAATAAGCGATATGGAGAGGTGAGGAGGAACGAGAACGGCGGGGGGAGAGAAAGAAAAAAAGACACGGGGAACGCTGGGTAAAATCGCTCGTCGCCGGACGCCTCAAAACCCGCCGCGAAAGTGCGACCGGGCCCTGAAAACCCGTCCAATGGGCGGTGCGATCGAGTCATTACGAGAACCAATTCGGCGGGCTTGAAGGCTCGACCGCACTCTCTGAAAGTTCCGAGACCCGATTATGTCCGGAGGATACGAGCACATACACATTACTCTCTCTCTCTCTCTAGAAGAAAGGCTCTAAATAATGAAAGCTTTGGATTCAACCAACTCAGCCGCACCACCTAGCTCGCTCTCTCTCTCTCTAAAACTCTCTCTTTCTCTCTCTAGAAGTGGAGGGGACGGATGGGGACGTGCATGAAAGGCGCACGTAAGGTTGGGATCGGGGCCCAGCAAGCGCGTTGGTCCACTAAGGCCGCAGCCCATTGGCCCGTCCGTACGGGGTGCGGGCCCCGCCCCAAACCCAACCCAACCCAACCCAACTCCCCCCCCCCCCCCTCCCGCTCCCCCTCTCTCCTCGCCGCTGGAGGGGCCGCCACGTGGCGCTCCTCCATTCCCCCCGCCCTTCCCCCTTCCGCCCTTTTGTCCTTCGTCCCTCTCGTTCGCTGACGCGGGCGGCGGGGCCCCCCCCGGTGGCGGAGTGGGCCCCGCTTTGCGTTTCGGTTTTACCTCGGGACTTTTTAATCTTTTCGTTAATGATGATTATAATCAATCCCATCGCCTATAGTGCTGCCCGTGGCTCTTCACTTTACCTTGTGATGACCTAACGTCTGCTTTGGATCTTTTTTAGGTTACGCGTCCGTTCGACAGGAAATGAGCGATTTAAAAAATATTTTTTAAAAAATAATTATTTATATTATTTAGAAAAATTAATCAATGGAAAGTATTTTCATCGTCGATAAAAATCTATGCCTCATTATTTTCGTGGGCGGTGAAAATTTTTTTCCATTTATTTAGTTTTCTAAACATTATAAGCGATTATTTTTCGGAAAATATTTTCCAAATCACTCATTTTTCGCAAAACGAACGCATCCTTAAGTGAAATATTTGTTTTTTCTGAGAGGGAGGGATTTAAATGAAGTCCTGCTATCTTGCTACTATTCCCCCCACCTCATAAAGAGGAAAAGAATGTGTTTTTGGGATTGGACTGCAAGGTTGTTATCTTATTAATTTAGCGATTAGCAATGACGATTATGTTTGAATTTCGAGACCCTTCTCTCATCGCTCGCTCGCTGTAACCAGATACAATTCCATCGTTCGGAATCCGATGTAATATGTAGTTATCATATCGCGACGATTTGATGCGATTAAATATGAGCTTATAACTTGTGAATGTTGAAGTGATGTGCCTTGTGAATAAAATCTCAGAGCTTGAAAAATAATTGATTATCGGGGGTTGTTGTGACTATACATAATAGGACGCAACAACCATAGAATTACTTTATCTGGGAGAATAAGCGAGAGATAATTAGCATGTCTGATCAATATATGGGTGGCTTTCACTCTTTTACCGGGTGTTGCAATTGGATATGAAATGGACTTGAGTAAAATAATCAAGTCGTATTGCAAATAAGAGATTGTTATGATTCAAATAAAATTTATTCTATGGGCAGCTTCATTTCGCCTGTGGTTAGCATAACATTATTCGATTTTGTCTTAAATCATTCCCCCCTGTGCAGTTCTGAAGCACGTCGTTCTAGTTTGAGGCTGTGAGAGACTTATCAACAAGCGCAATTTGGCCACATTGGCTTCTAGACTACACCTGAGCACTGGCTTGGGCGGAGTGGCTCAAACCAGACCAAGCACGGTTGGTAACAGGGCCTCACTCTGTCCTGGCTCAAATGCTCGAACCCATGCGCCTGATTCTAGGCCCAAGCTTGTCCAAACTCGCCTGAATGAGAAGTTATTTTATTTTACTATAACCTAATTGTTATAATTTCGCAAGCCTTACGTGTTTAATTACAAGGCACTCGGAAATTGGGACTGTGCAAGATCACGAGCAGTTGTATCACGCACTCAAGGGCCAAAAGGAAAAAGGGGTCACATGTAACATGTGTGTATGTACATAAACAAATTTCGTTACAAAAATCCCATGGGCGAGCCGCTTGGGTTAGAGGGTTCGGGCCCGGGTTGGCCCGCCTAGTCAGCCACGAGCCTGGAAATAGCAGCCAAGCCCACCTGCCCGTTGATCAGGTCTAATATTAAAGTCCCACCCGCTCGTTGATCAGGTCTAATATTAAAGTCCCACGCACATCTAATCGCTTCCTCGCATCCAATTTGCAAATCGAAAACCCAAATCCTTATGCTCGAGGAGGCTGCTTCGAAACATCAATAGGATAAAAAAAGGTATGGTAAAGGCTTAGCTCCAATGACGTTCAAAATGTGCTAGCTCAGCTTAGTGTCCCCCACGACTACCATAACACACGAGGATTCCATAGTATGGTCATACCCTCGTACCAAAAGAGACCCTTTACCCATCAATCTACACAACAAGCAATGGAATGGAAACAACGACACCTTGCGGGATGAAAAGTCTGCAAAAGTTCGAGTGGGGACTTTTGCTCAAACTTCCACGAGGCGACACGTGGCAAGCACCCATCACCTCAAACCTCCGATCAAGAAAAAAAAATGTATATTTATTTATATATATTAATTAATATATGTATATATAAGTGTGTGCAGAGTCCATGCTCAACCCAAATTATTCCATTTTCCTTAAAAGCATCTCTACTCCCATAAAAAGCTAAACCCCTTCAAAACCCAATAAATTACCCATACAGCAAATGATTAACTTTAGGATTAAATTCAATTTAATTATCCCCTTCTTTTGCGAAAGCAGCATAAAGCTTCTGCAACCTTAATTTTTTTTAAATTTTTTTTTTAAAATTATTTGATTTTTAACTTTTTGTCTTTTTGGGCTCTGGAGAGAAGGGAGGAAGGTTTCGGCCATGGCGTGGTCTTGGAGTTTCATCGTAAAAGAGAAAAGCAATCCCTTCCCTACAGAGGGAATATGCGCGGCAGGGTCTTCTCGCTTTAGCTTATGTCACAGCTTTACTTACTTACTTTATTTTATTTTATTTTCTAGCACTTGAAAAAATAAAGCTGTTTCTGATTTGTTTATTTATTTTATTATTATTGCTTTATCCAATATGATATAGATGATGAGTAGGAAGGGGAGATTCGAGACTTTAAAGTGACTCGCAAACCAAAGTTCAAGAACGCTTTGAAATTCAAAGTCCCGTTCGAAGATACCTAAAATCTAAATGGTCACGTGTCAAATTTAAAGAATGGTGAATCGGGTAATTTTCCCCTCTAATTCATGTATTTAGTTTTTTTTTTGTCAAACATGTATTTGATTTAGTGGCCAATACATAAATAACTCCCTTAACTGGCATTTTCCTTAAAAATGAAATGAAAAAAAAATCTTATAATTATTAAAAATTTCATTTATTTCGAGAAAAATAAATAATTTAAAAAATATTTTGTTAAAATTGATTGCTTTTATCGCTTATACAAATGAATGAACGGTCATCGTTTGCGAATATGTTTACACATAAATTATTATCGATAATGAAAGTATTTTTTATTGATCGATTATTTTAAGCGACACAAGTAATCGTTTTTAAAAAGATATTTTTTATATTTTTATTTTTCGAAAAAAAACAACGCATCATCATTAATTAATTTAAACTTTTTTTCTTTCCATGCACGCTGATGACATCTGTTCGACACTTTTTTTTTTTTTTTTACAAAAGACAAGTGCCCTTTTCAGGATGGAGATATCATTATCACTGAGAAAAAACAACGGTGAAAACGCAACCCGAAAAGGCCTTATCTTTACATGCAGCAGCCAAACACGTGTCAATTGGGGGGAAGTGGGAAGATTACGTGGCATGGGCAATAAGAAAAAAATGGTCCCGACCCATAGGTGCGAAGATGTGTAAGAATATATCGCGCGACAGTGACATGTGATTTTATAAATAAATCAAACTAAATTATTTAAAAAAAAAAAATTAAGCGTCATATAAGATGAGATATATATTCGATCGATGCACACGACATAGGGAATTCTACAATTTCGATATTTGAGTTTCTCTCCTTTTTAAGAAGAAAATTACCATCTAGATATGCAACTGATGAGATTATAATTTATCGATGAAATTGCAAATTGCGATTACCTCCGTTGACCCATGCAATTTTCCTAGTTTCAAACAAACCCCGAATTAGCACATGGGCAATTAGTCTCTCTTTTTTTATTGACCAAAAAAAATCAGCCTCTTTTTCAATTTTTTTTTTGTTTTTTCTCGTCTATTATTACCACGAGAAATAAAAACGATCAATCCTTTATTGTTACCTATTTTAAATTTTGGAAAGAGATTCAAAAAGAAAAATCAATAACCTATATTACTAGCCCAAGAAAATAGCTGTGCTTCTTTTCAAAGGGAATCACCATCTATCATCTAATAAGCGAACTGATCATTTGTGCCAATTAGCATGTTACTGAATCTTACGCTCTGTTTGTTTCGCGAAAAAATCAATAATTTAGAAAATATTTTTCAAAAAATGATCGCTTGTGTCACTTACAAAATGAATGAACGATAAATATTTTTTTTACGAAAATAATAATAAAAATACTTTTCATCGACTAATTATATCAAGCGATACAAGTAATTATTTCAGAAAAATGCATTCCAGATAATTTATTTTCCGTGAAACAAACGTACACTTAAAATTTCCTTAATTGTGCAAACTATACATACTTATTGTACAATCGCTTCCATCATCATAGAGTTTAGATAGTTATATTTTAGTAATGGCATTGAACATTTAGGTTCCGTTCGCTTCGTGAAAAATGATTGTGTAAAAAATACTTTCATAAAAAACGATCGCTTGTATCGCTTAATAAATTGATTGATTTATGCGTATAAATAAACAATACAATTATAAAAGGAATAAATAAACAATGATTTTGTCTTAAATTGCAAATTAACCCTCGATGCAAACTCATGGCACAATTTAATTCTTCAAGTGGGCAAAGGAAAATACAACCTATTATTTATTGGCACCATTTAAATTTTCAAGTGGATTGAAAGAAAAATACAACCTATTATTTATTTGTTTTGGAGATGGATGAACACCAAGATCCAACGCTTAATCTTTATCAATAGGAAGAAATTTCGAATGGTGCGAGCGCCCTCTACTTGCTCTCTACATGGTTGGGTTATGGTCCATCGGGACCAGTACCCTACGTTTTTCTTATTTCCTTACTAAACAAATATGCAACATGCATTGCGGATCGTAAGCAAGAAAAAAAAAATTCGATATTCAAAAGATTAAGCATAATCCTCCGTCACGAAATAATCGAATCATCAGATGATGCAAAGAAATTATTTATAAAAAACACACGACGCAACGTGAAGAAATTTGCCCCATAAATCCGACAAAGTCCGAAATACATCTAGAAAGAGCGTTACCGCACGGTATAAAAAGATCTCCAAATTTCGATATCGAAAGATTTGAGCAATAAAAATCCATCAATCTGTGCATTTGTTCCCATACACGATACAGATTAAAATAATGGTTTTAAATAAGTTTAACAGAATCACTTGCTTGCCCGGGAAAAAAAAGAAGAGAAAAAAAGAGGTCAAAAAAAGAGAGGAAGAAAGAAATATTCCAAGAAGCAGTAAAATAGTGAAAGTTCAAAGGTTGTCGTCTCGTCGTACGTCACTGTTGGAGCAGCGTTAGATGCGTGGAGTTAGTTAATCTTTTCGTGATGAGCTGGATCCACTCTCGTAGGAACGACCCCCACTTTTGAATAAAAAAAATTCCTGCTAAAAAGTGATGTTTTCGATTAAAAAAAATTCGACCCCCAACAAAAAAAAAAAAAAAAAAAAAAAAAGAACAAAAGGCGGAAATCGAGCTCTGAGATGCAGAACAGACCCCCCCCAGCCCGACTTCCCTGTATCAATCCCCGCAACGAATTCCCCGAAATTTCTTCTCTGTTCTGCTGCGTGGTTGCTCTGTGTTTCGGAACTCGGGGTTCGGTTATCGTTGCTCTCTTGCGCTCTGTTCTTGAAACAGAGAGAAATCAGGGGAGGGTGTTCTTGTTACTTTCTTTCTCCTCCCCCCGCAAGAATCGACACCCACCGAACGATTTCTCGAATTATCTTGTCATCTGTGAGTTTTCCTCAACTGGGTTTTTCGGATAATGAAGTGGGGTGCTGCTTTCTTGATTGGCCCCTGCTTGAGGATGTGAGTGACTTGTTGGTTTGGTTCCGGGGGGCGGGTCACAGAGAGTAACCAGCTCTCGGAGTTCCTTTGATTCCGCTGCACCCCCACAACAACCCCCAATCTGAGAAGGGACGCGGAGGATCCATGTCAACGTTGACTTCGAGCTGTTCTTGGAAGGCCGGGGACGTGGTCTCCGATCAATTCCCGGCGGGCCTGCGGGTCCTCGTGGTGGATGATGATCCGACTTGTCTCAGGATCTTGGAGAAAATGCTCAAGACATGCCAATATCAAGGTGGATTGATTGTCCTGTGCATGATGCTCGATTTCATTTGCAGATTCTGACGGATTTCTTTTTGTCGATAAATTTGATTTGATTTCGTGATTTTTTTTTTTTGTCCCTGGTTTTGAGTAAGGGTTCATTTGGTGAAAAAATTGTGGATTAACGTCCAGTTCGGAGTCCCTACAGCTATAATTTCTTGCCCTTTTGACTTTTCTTCTTCCTTTTTCCATTTTGGATTATTATGATGAATTAGGTTTTTAGCTCTTTTCTGGTTGATTTCTCTCCTCTAGAGGTTGATTCGCTGTGCCGAGAAGTTCGAGTGCTTGTTTGAGCTCTCAGAAGTTGAAGTCCTACGGTCCTTTTGCGCTTGGTACTGGCTGATTCGTGACTGTTTCTGTTTTGGAATGTTTCAGTGACAACATGCAGTAGGTCAGATGTTGCTCTATCCACGCTTCGAGATAACAAAAATGGATTCGACATTGTATTGAGTGATGTTCACATGCCGGACATGGATGGCTTCAAACTTCTTGAACACATCGGGCTTGAAATGGATCTCCCCGTAATCAGTATGTACTCCATTTAAATTCTGATGGCCTTAAAAAATGGATATTCCAAACGATGTTTTCAATGAAGCCAATTGATTGACTTCGGTTACCTGACTTATCCAATTGAACAGTGATGTCCGCCGATGACGGGAAGCAGGTTGTTATGAAGGGTGTGACCCATGGTGCTTGTGATTATCTGATAAAACCGATAAGGATCGAGGCATTGAAGAACATATGGCAACACGTGGTTAGGAAGAGGAAGAACGAATGGAAGGAATTGGAACAATGTGGAAGTGTGGAAGATGGAGAGCGGCCGCAGAAGCACTTGGAAGACGTGGATTACTCATCCACGGCAAATGAAGGAAGCTGGAAAAGCGGAAAGAAAAGGAAGGAAGAGGAGGATGATATAGAAGAAAGGGATGATTCGTCCACGCTGAAGAAGCCACGAGTGGTTTGGTCCGTTGAGCTTCACCAACAGTTTGTGTCGGCTGTTAATCAGCTCGGAATTGACAGTATGAACTCATTACTTTGATGCCTTCTAAAGTTATTTTACTAGCCGTTATGCTCATCCATTGTCCATACTTGCAAACTACGGTGCTCTACTGTTAAGGGTCATCATTTAGTTAAAATGATATGGATAATCTCCGTATGACTTAAGGTGAATGACCCCTTCAATGTTTATAAAAAGAGAGACGATCCATCATGGTGCTTATCCTCACATTTAGCTATGGGAGCATTTAGAATTCGAGCATGGGCATTGAAACACCTGAACACGGGTGTGTTTGGTTCTTTGGATAAGACTATGCTAGGTTGCGTTACAATGTCTCTGGTCTAGGGAAAGCAATATTTTTTACCATACGTGTCTTATATCCAAACCTCCCATTTTATTATCGCTTTCCGCAGAAATGGAACTTTTCATGTTCTATGAAAATCACTTTCGTGTGGTATGGCAAATGAATGGCTTGTGGAAAAATAGTTTGACATCAACAAGACTTTTATTTTTAACAAACCACAACTGATCTCCAGAAGGCTACAAGTTGATGAAATCCCCATAAGGAAGCTGTTTGGTCAGTAAATTTCTTCATTCTCTTTCATAAAATATTTCATGGAGTACAATGAGCCCATTTTGCAAGATATAAGAGTTGTTGCTGGTTTAGTGGGTGTGCTTGTGAAATAATTTCCTTTAAGCTCTTGCATGATCCCTGTTACTATCATGTCACGTGTCCTTGAAATATTTATGATCTACTTTAACTGGAGTCTTCCATTTACCATTTACCCGTGCTTTTTTCCTCGTCATCTCTTCCATTCTGAAAATATGTCTTGATTCATGAACGCAGAGGCTGTTCCAAAGAAAATACTGGAGTTGATGAATGTTCCTGGGCTGACAAGAGAAAATGTTGCTAGCCACCTTCAGGTATCCTTAATTTCAATAGATTCATTAAAACTTTCCTGTGCTTCATAATCCACATCTTTAAAGTTATTTTCAGTACCATCTAACTGTACAATAATATGGTGCAGAAATACCGCCTGTATCTTAGAAGACTGAGCGGTGTGCCGCAGCATCAGGCCGGAGTAAATAGCTCCTTTATTGGAACACAAGACGCGGCTTTTGGGACGATCTCCTCACTTAACGGGTTTGAGCTCCAAGCACTTGCTGCTACAGGCCAGCTGCCAGCCCAAAGCCTTGCTACACTCCAAGCAGCAGGGTTGGGTCGGTCTGCCGGAAAATCTGGCATATCCATTCCCGTGCTGGATCAAAGAAACCTGTTCAGCTTTGACAATCCAAAATTAAGATTCGGAGAGGGACAGTCGCAGCAAAATCTCGGAAGCAATAGTAAACAAGTGAACTTGCTCCATGGTATCCCAACCACAATGGAGCCTAAGCAACTCATGAATCTTCAGCAGTCTGCTCAACCTTTTGGAAGCATGAGCATGCCAGTCCATACACATGGAGCCCAAAGTAGCTCTTTGCTGATGCCGATGGGCCAACCACAGGCTAGAAGACACGTCATCGGTGAAAGTGGTAGCAATCGCCCTCCTGTCCTTCAGGCCAATATGGGGCAGTCAATTCTGTCAACTGGCCTTGTTGGTGGGTCCTTAGGCAGGAGCAGCACTGCTGAAAATGGACGAGGTCCGGGGCACAATACGGTTTTGCAGACATCATCCGCTTTCAATTTTCCCATGAACCAAGTATCAGAAGCACCGGTTAGTAGTTTTCCCATCCAGAGTAGTTTTCCTGCATCAAAAGGTGGATACCCGGAGGATGTGAACTCCGGTATTATTAAAGGGCCTGGTGGGTGTATGCCGAACTACGATATACTCCATGACTTGCAGCAAATGAGATCCCATGATTGGGAGTTTCAGAATGTGGGCGTGGCATTTGATACATCGCAACCAGGAAATACCGTCCAAGGAAATATTGACACATCCGGATTGCTCTTAGTTCATCAGGGTTTATCTTCTGGGCAGAGCAGCAGTGGACACAATAGAAATATCTCTGCTGCTGGCAAGTCCTTGCTTTCCGCCGACGGAAATCGGCAGGTGACCTCTCCTAATGTTGGTCAACCTCCGAATTCCCTTGTTGACAATCCAGTGCAAGTTAAGACTGAAGGTTTCCCTGATATGAGCTATCAGGCCGTGCTCTATCCGGAACACTACAGCCAGGAGGATATCATGAATGCACTTCTCAAGCAGGTGCGTGACTTTTGTTGCTTTAAACTTGCTTAAGTCAGGAAGTAGTAGGATAATCTGTTCTATGCACTTGCTATAATGTGACTTGCTCAAATATAAGACACTGACATGGAATTTCTCCTTTCCTACTGCAGCAACAAGGCATTGGACCATCTGACAGTGAGTTTGAGTTTGATGGGTTTTCCATGAATAATATTCCTGTATAGTATATGCTCCATGGTCAGGTGCAGTACAGTGCAAAGTCGCGCGCAGTACATAGTTTACACCAGTCGGTTATTTTCCCCTCCTGTGATTGGGCTGCAAATTCAAGAGGATTCTTGATTTGAAGTGGCAGTGCTGGACCATAATGATTATTGAATGGACCAATTTCAGTAGAAGATATTTGTGGAGCATGGGAGGCACTGCTGCGTGATATGCAAAGGCGTACATGCTAGTTCTTTTTGACTGCTTTTGATAGAATAATACTTTAGCCAGAAGAAGCAACTAATTTAGTCTTGTCAAGTTATTGTTAGAATTTCTTAGGCACTTTGTCAGCTGGACAAGGTTTTGTGATACTTGCAGTACTTTAGGTCTAGGAGCCTTTTCTAACTTCAATAACACACCCAATGCGGTTCTGGTCCGTCTTTTATTCCCCTTGTTTGTTGAGGTAACTCAATGTTATTGTAAGTATCTGCCTTTCCATTGCTTTGGACAAGGATTTGTGCATTCTTTACTCGATGCATCTTGTATTTCATTGCCCTGTACATGGGTTGTGCGTTCTTTGTATTAAGTTCTCTTCTGGGCTGAATCTTCTATTCGAGACTGTTTCTTGATCTCTTTCTCATTCCTAACGGTCAATATTATGATTCCACGAAGAATGGTTGCTCCGTGGCCAACGCCATATGTTGCCAGATAAAACCCTGCAGAAAAAGGCTGCTTTTCCTTCTTTGACTCGCCATAATCTCTTAAATACCTTACTTCACGCATGGTCGTGACTCTTCATTAATTTTGCTGTCTAAAGGGGAAAATGTTGAAAATGTCTACCACCCCCTTGAGGAGTCAAAATACACAGACGGGAAAAAGGGGAAAACGCACACTGAGAGAGGGAGGGAGAGAGAGAGAGAAATGCACAATATGTACAGGGCAGAATCATTCAACTATATGATGCAGTCAAAAATCCGAAACCAGGAAAAAGTCGATGCCCTTCACGGAGAAAGAGCTAAGAAGGCACATGGTATTTTGGCTCAGAAAATTTGTATTTGTGAGTGACAAGCTCCAGCTAATTGCTAATATCTGGGGATCCATGTCTGCGACTCCAATGTTAAATGTGCCTCCATTTCACATTTGAAGTTCTTCTAACATCACGTAACTTTTCGCACTCGATGAGTTACCGCGGGACAAGCTTCATCAACGTATTTTATTTCAAGTAAAATGGCAAAGTTAGTCATACTTGACCCTCGTTGAGTGGGCGCTTATGTAATGCTCCAATGGAACCATCTTAATTGTCCCATAATATATAGGGCCGTCGTTGCCCCTGTATCAATATAGGACAGGTATCTAATCTCTTTTGCCTCACGTTTAGACCCCTCGCAAGGAACATTAGCATCACCATGAATTCGTTACAGGACAAACGGTCAAAGAGCATATCGAACAATGTATGCACGGGCCGCACAATTTCATGAACAAAGATGCCAGTCAGAATATAGAACTGAATCATCATTCAACCTGTAAATAACAACCACAACTACTGTGTACTATGTATAGTAGCAAAATCTTCTTGATCGAGTACATCTTCTTTCAAGGGTACCTCTCTTAGGAAACCATACTGTGGACTGTCATTTCCCAAGAACTCTAAGATCCTTGTGTGCATGCACTGCATCTCTCGCAGCAGCATGACAGTTCAATCCGGAGATCTCCCATGAAATTGGTGTTATAGGATCCGCACTCGACAAAAACCCGCCGATAAGTTGGTTCAGCAATGGGGCAAGTTAGCCTAGGAACTATATCAGCAACATGCTCACTGACTGATGCCCCGAATTAGGGATTCACAGACAGCAAAAAATATGAAAGCCTTTCTGCGTCATTCACTAGTAGCTGTACCACTTACCCTGCAATCAAGTGAAAGAATGACAAAATTGGGTGTACAGCACAACCGATCAAACAGAAAACATCTCTACTAAATTATGCACAAAGTACAAATTCTATTTAACTCCACAAACATCATAACAAGTACAGTATCATGAAAGAGCATAAAAGAATGTAGAGAATCATTAGATTTTAGAGTTACAACATTCTTTCAACCTGCAGATGACAATTGCAGTGTGTGCAAACGGTCTTCTCAGCAAAGTAAAAGAGCGAGAATTCGGAACCTCCCGGTAAGGTGTATACAGTGACAGTCCACTGAAAGAATATAAAGAATCTGCAGCCATACGTAATTAGGTCCTCGTCCTGCTACCGCAGCATCAACTTGAACAGAACTGATGCTACAAGGACTGAGTAGACTATGTTCGACATTGATCGGCCTCCACTGCTTGGGTAAAAAGAAGGAAGCGCGCACTCGTCTCCGTTAAAGAACACTTTAGTCGGAAAGCCATCTCCTCCCGGCACGTTTATCCCAGCAATATTTTTCTTGGTAAATGACATAACAGACTGTTGTTTCCCAGGGACCCTAGGGTCCTTCTGTGGATTAGCTCCATCAGTTTCCGCTACAAGATAGTTCAATCCCGGGAGTCCTTGCAAGAGGATGGTATTATTAGCGCCATTAATTTCCAACATGGTCCCGTTGAACGAGTACGCCTTTTCAAACCCTGGTGCAGCTTTATCCATTTGCACCGCAGCGAACCAATCAGGAAAAGAGGTCTCGTCCCAGTTGAAGATCGTGACCCTCGCAGTCCAACCTTTGGTGTAGTCAGTGTACACATGCCAATTGATGCTGACCCCGCAGTTATCACCACAAGGAAGTGGATTGGGCACTGTGTGATGGTTCAGATCAGCCCAGGCAAGTGCCAACGCTGAACGATTCTCGAAAGGAACCAGAAGAGCCTCTGATGGAAGAAGAATGGCTGGAGCTGTGGCGCTACAAGTTTGGCTGGTGCTGCTAGGGCACCCGCACGCGCAAGTTTGGCATGGGACAATCGACTCATTGTAGTATGAAGAGAATGACACGCAACATCTAGGGCTCGACCCCTTGGCTTGAGTGATATTGCACACCACCTGCCAGCTGGCAACTGCAGTAGTGTTAGAGGGTAAGCCACTAGGGTCTGGGAACTGGCTTGGGCTCACTCGAATTGGTTGACCACACTGGTAGTCGGGATTCAGCGTGCCGTTGATCTGCCAATTCTGTGGAGGCGAGAGCGCCGATCTGTTGAGATCTGGTGGCATTTTGTAGACCTGCATCTGGAACACCGACGTTGACTTGCTCGGGTCCACTGACGGTGGCAAGATGGTGCCGTTTCTACAACAATTAGGAATCAAACCGAGCGTGGTGTCATTGGCCTTGGTTGGAGGCAAATCAATTATGGTTGGCCGCTTCTCACAATTCAATACATTTGAGAAATCCAGGCTCTGGTAGTATGTGCCCTGGGTGCCAAATATGCAGTCACTAGAGTCGACAACATTTGGATAAGCCCCTTTCATCGTGTAGATGAACTCATCCCTCATCCAATCCCAGCTCAATTTCCAGTTATCAAGACGACCAAGTGGGTTGTGGTTGGCAATGGTGACCTGTGCCCAGTAGGACGAGTCATATGTTCTAATAACATCGTACATGATTGTTAGATCGCCACTTTTACGGGAAAGAAAGCCATCGCCAACAGTGATGTTGGCCTTGAAGTTGGTGTCCTTGGTGCAGCACACTTGCATCTCGCTCTTGCCTGCAACAACCACATCGAGAATTAAAACCTTTTCTCGACATTAAGGGTGACTGCATACTGGCAAACGATCAACAGCAATACATCCCATATAATTAAGCAATATGGCACCAGAGAGAAAACAGCTTCCATTATTGAAAATGAGGGAAATTTGGTTTCATTACGTCTTGATTAGTAGGAAAGGATCCGCTTAAAGGTAATCCTGCCAAGCATTCCACGCACATTTCACCTCCTCCTCTAACACAATAGATAGACACAAATATGCTAACAGAGCTATTTCTTAAAAAGCACAGAAACCCCACAATATGACCTCTTGATTAGTAGAAAAGGATCCGCTTAAAGGTAATCCTGCCAAGCGTTCCACACACATTTCAACTCCTCCTCCGACACAATAGATAGACACAAATATGCTAACAGAGCTATTTCTTAAAAAGCACAGAAACCCCACAATATGACCTCTTAATACCAAAGATATCAGCCTTCTGCATCGTTGAATGAAACAATTTGAAAATTGTAAAATCTACAGAGAAAATCAAAGATGAATTTTCTTCTTCGGATGAACTAGTGCATAATCAAAAGTGGCAACAGTCCTATTCCACAAGATCTCAAGTAAAAGGATCACCATTCTATGTGTACCGTCATACCCAATATAGTTTCCCAAAAATCCAGCACATGAGACCACATCGAACCTCAAAGAACAAGATCCAATCACATTGTCCCACGAAAGTGTTCAAGAAACCTTAGCACCAACCAATCCATCCTACCAAAAACCACGGACCCTTCACTTAGCCCCCAACAACCAAAAGTTCCATCGATAAAGTTCACCAGGTAAGAGATCAACAATATGTGCACATTGACAAGAAAACATAAGAAATCACCTCAAGCTCGAAACAGAGCGGCAAACACAAATCAGCGAAAATGGTGCAATCACTCACCCTGCAGAGTAGGCGCGGGACACACGAACCCATCGTTCGCCAACGAGATATTCGACGGCATCGGCACGTCCGGCGACTTCACCCCGAACTGCGTCCCCACCAGCTGGACCTGCACCTGCATCTGCGTGAGATCGCCCGCCGTCTCGATCGCCGTCTTCAGATCGGTCGTCGGGTACCCCGCGAAGACGGTGCCATTCCCGACGCTGGCGGGCAGGGACGACCCGTCGGCCAGGACGGCGTTCGAGGCGGAGACCAGGAGCTCGTCGTGCTGGAACCCGACGAGGACCATCCAGGACTTGAGGTCGTCGGCCCCGTTGTTGAGGACGGTGAGCGTGGACTGGAAGCGGTAGGCCTGGTGGGTCGCGTTCGTCGGCGGGAGCTGGGACCCGCCGCCGTAGGAGTAGGAGAGGAAGACGCCGTTGCACGCGTCGGAGGCGGGCGACGGCGCGAGGGCGGTCTGGGAGGCGGAGAAGGGCGCCGCGGCGGCGGCGGCCAGGACGAGGAGTATGGGGAGGAGGGTGGGCATTGCGCCGATGGGTTTCCGGTAAAGTTCGAAGCTTTGAACACGCATCAGAAGAACAAGAACACACACAGAGGAAGAGTGAGAGAGAGAGAGATGGTGGCCGAGGTTTTTGTAGAGAGAGAGTGTGAAACGAAGGCGTGAACGCGTAGGAGTAGGAGAGAGAGTGGACAGCTAGCGTTTCCTAGTGATAGAGAGAGAGAGAGAGAGAGAGAGAGAGATGTCCATTTTTCCTGCGAGCTGTTCGAAATTCAAACGACTCGGTTTTCGGGTGGCTTTCCCCTTAATCTGTGATTAGGACATCGCTAATCAATGTCGTCATTAGTATACTCGTATCATAATCTTTGCTAATTTATAGAACAAAATCCGTGGAAATTGCCATTTCCTGAGATGATTTTAACCTATCCTAGATACCCCCCTTTTTTTTTTTTCTGTTACCCCCCGATTTTATTTTTAGCCCGAGTACAAAGATTTTCGCGGATTC